GGGCACACAGAGACAGGAATGACTGGTGCAACCAGCATAAAGAACAGTCTGGCCACTACAGCATGTACATGTCAGCTGCTTATCGTGAATGCAAATCTAGTTTTGTATTTGAAAGAGAATTCAGATTGTATCTCACACATTTACAACCTTAATGCCAGCACAAGTGAAAAAAGAAAACAGAAAAGAAGAGCAGGGCCCCAGCCCTGCAGACTGAGCTATGGTAAGCAAGCATAGGTGTTTTCTGGAGCTTGATTTGTAGGAATAGGGCCTGTAAAATCAAAGGAGGAAATTAACTCCTACAGATGTTCAGCGGAAAACATGCCGAAGAGGAAAGCAGATACACCAGTGTATGTATGCACATACACACACCACACACAGATTTTGGGAAGCAATGATGTAAGAAAAACATTTTTGAGCCTCTCATGAAAAGATTTAAAAGTTTTAAGGTATCATCATTCCCATAGAGAAAAGACGAAACTGCCAACATCTCTTAGTTTGTGTAACCAGCCACATCGGTGTCTTCTGTGTGTCTCAGGGCCATGCTCAGCTTCGCTACTGGCAAACCGCAGAGTCACTGCCATGTCCCCCAGCCTGGGCAGAGATCCCAGGTCCCCAGGCAGGAAGAAGTCCTAGGACAGAGCTGCTAGAGGAGGGTAAAAAAAAAGAGACAGATTCTCAAAACTAGCTGCAAACTGCACACATGGAACCCATTACAGAATGGATGAATACTGAAGTTTTGTTTCCTTTGGAATACATCTTGCAAAAAATACACTGCAAGTAATTCCACAAACAATACCTGAAAGCTGGTTTTGGAAGTTCTCTTTATGAAGTGATACTAGAACAAGCTACCCTGGGTTTTATGTAGAAATGCTAATCAGACACCTCCCAACCCAAGGAAATGACAGTGCTGAAACAAAAGAGCTGAGAATTGCTTTGAAGTATCAGGTAATATGGATATATATACACACATTAATCTAACCTAGACAGTTAACTGGCAACACATGCCTAAGCAGCCACCTGATGTTGAAATAACTGACAAACAGCTGTGGCCTTCTCTCCATTTGGTATTAGATAATATCATCATCAACAGCAGCAGCAGCAACAGAACCCACCCTTCTGTTGTTGATAATTATGAAACCTAGATGTATTGCACAAAGACAACTGCCATACATGAAGTACAGGTTTCTTTCAGAAGTCACTAATAAAAGAGAAATGTTTTTAATCAAAAATATACATTTAAATCAAAATTATACATTTATACAGTGAACTTTAAATCTCATTTGAAACTACAGGAGAGACAAAAATATTGTATTATATATATGTAATATATGTATTATAAAGTATTATAACCTACTTTAAATCCACAGCTTTGTATTATTACATAGCCTGTCAGTTACAAATATATATGTGGATTATGGGCAAGGCTCTAAGGATAAGGTCATTGTGGCAGAAAATTACTGGCTAAATAGTTCGTATATTTAAATTGAACTCAGTCTCCTTTTAAGAGATTATTTAATGAATCTGAAATAAAAAAAAAAAAACAACACAAAAAACACCACCCCCCCCCCCAAAAAAAAAACCAAACCCAACCCAACCAAAAAAATAATTATTTTTACAAGTCTGTTTGAATACTGCCCGTGTCCTTGTCCCTCCCACCTCAGCTCTTGTTTTGTGGATTTTTAATTTGCTGTAAGGAGTCCAGTAGAGGGAGCTCAAAGCACTAGGTACCAGCACTGAGCTAGAAAGGCAGGCCAGGGAAAGATCCTCACTTCTGCTTTCGGATAACAGCTCCTGGCAGGTTTAGTAAATGCCAGTAACATGACACTTGGTGAAGGAAAGGGAATACAGTTACTGGCAGCTAAGCAAAGCTGCTACTGACACCATTTTCTTTTTGAATATGCTTTGCTTTTGCTGTTTAAGGAAAAAGACATCTTTGAGGCAACAGAGTTGGATCTGGTACTAATGATGACATTATTTCTGGGATGCCAGAAACACACACAAAAAAACCCAACTAGTTAAAAGCATAAGGACTTTTCAAGTTTGGCATCTCCATGACACAACGTTGGTACATGGTCAAGCAGAAGTTTCCTCGATTCCGTCATTTCCTGTCAGACTAACTACATCATGTGTTGCTTATATGGTGGTAGCCTCCACTATTAACACTAATTTTGTCCTTGCTAACACATGCTGAGATGGCCATTTTGGCACCATCAATTCAACATCACTGAACAAATTCCCACAGTCTAAATCTGTCTGTATTAAAAATGGGATTTCCTGGTATTACATTTGTTTCCTGTGCAAGGGAAAACAGGTAACAGCTGCATTTCAAGATCTTTTGGAATCTTTTGTCAAATCAAAATACTCTGCCAATACAAATTTTGGCCTCAGTGGGAAAACAGATACCTAGGAAATATCATCTGTGATGAAAACAAGAATTTACAAAGGCCACCAATTAATGTAATTGGAAAGCACTCCTCACCAAGATGTGTGTGACATTCACTTGCCAGCTAGCTGCGGTATCAGGCATGCAGGCAACATAGAGGAAGATGATCTACAAAGACCAACTATGTTTTCTACTGCACATGTATCCACAGTTGTATCATCCAAATATCTGCAGTAAATAAAGGGTTAATGGCCTAGAAAAAGATCTCTTGCTAGAAAACTTGCAGGCAATCTTGCTGACACTTCTAGAAATTTACTTAAAATACTCAGTATGTGATCAATCACTTAAGTCTTTTGAAAATCTGGGTTATCTGTCACAGACAGCAATGGCAAAAAATCCATTTACCAAAAAGTGGCACTTCCGATGTCTTGGAATTCTCAAAGTATATCATTGCACTTCTTAGTTGGGTGCTATGGATGGGGAAATTTGGGGGAGGGATGGGTGGACAGTTAAGAAATGCAAGTTAAGTGTCATAGAATTTTCACTGTATTTTGATGAATATCAACCTGCATCAAGAATATTTTTTTCCTTAATAATTTACTTAATAATTTCCTTAATAATGGTCTCTCTCAGTGCCACAATTCAATCTGTAGAAATTTTCTGGGCTTATCTGTAGCCCTAACAAACTGTGATTGTCACGAGGACTAAGTCAAGTCTGGTGTTCCTCTAGCTTAAGTTTGACTGCTCAGCACTGAGACTGATTATTTGCATGTGGCTGTTTATCAGCTACCTGCAGTTTAAAGTTTCCTGCAATTATACTTTTAATGGAGCTTTGAGAAAGAATCTGAAAAAAAAAGAAAAACGAACCAAAACCAGAACAAAAAGTGGTTTAGTTCCATCTTAAAGGTTTTGCAAAAACAATCCTAGTAACAAAATCCATTCCAAAAGCAGAAGTCATGGGAAAGTCACAGCATGTGACCCAATATGCAAAATCATTACCAGATGCTGGTTTCCCTTCAACAGCAATCCCATGACAGGAAAATTCTGCTCCATCACATTGAGCCCAAAAGCTGGTATTACGTGTATACCACAGTACTGACACTGGCAAGTGCTTCTAGTTTCAAAAACATTGGGTTCGACTGACTTGCTTGTGATTTTTACCATCAATACCGTATCTCATCCCACTGAATAATTTCAGTGAAGAGAAGCACACTCAGGGCTTCTTCCATACCAGAGAATAAAGATTAGCTTCTATTGTCAGACATATTTTGAACAAGGAAAAAGAAAACCACTTCAAGGGTCTTACTCTTTAGATAGGCTTTGGAAATTTAAAAGACGACATTTAAACAAAGTTCCTTTATGCACTGTAATAAACTGCTCTTAAAAGGCATCCTGTAAGAAAGGCTGTCATAGTATTTTTGTAGTATTTCTGGATACATCTGAAACAGATCAGAATGAGATTGCCTCAGGTATTTAGAAACTTAAGTTTCCAGTGTAAGTATTAGAATGAGTATTTCCATCTACAGTTCTAGTTCTGGTTCTTCTGGCAACACTGAAAACAATCGATACAACATTTTCTGTAACTCACCTTATAATCAAACTTCAAGCACGTATATATATATTCATTACCACTCATTTGGTTCTACATCTTGAAGAAAAATGTTGGTTGCCTGCAAACTATGAATTCTGTCAAATTCAGGAACACTCATTGTAGAGTCCCTTGCCATCATTTGAAATCTGACAGTGAAATTCCTTAAATAGCTTTCATCTAGAGAGTAAAAACTCCAGGAGGCAAATAACGTCTTGTGTCACAGAAAGCAGCCATCAAAATTACAGCCCACAGCTGGCCACTGAAATATTGGATGAAACATTTTCCCTAGAAGAGCAGGGAAAAAACAAATCCAAACCCACAATTTCAGTACATGTGCTTAGAATAGCTTCACTTTTGCAAATGCCCCAAATGAAAGCATATCCCCAGACTCTACAGAAGTAGATCACAAATATGAAAAGTAGGCTGAAACTGAAGGTGTCCAGGAGAAAAAAAAAACATCCAGTAAGGCCAGGTACAGCATACATCGCTAAGAGGTACAGTTGCATCAACAAGTTGCAAGCTCAGATCATGCTGAAGAGACCACACAAATACAGACAACTTCATACCATCTTTCCTTTAAGTATCCCACAAGAATCCACGGACAGAAGCTATTTACCAAAGACCACAATGACTGGAATGCTCATGTTCAGAATTCTTGTTTTAAGCCCTGATTCAGAAAATGAATTAGCACTTTTTGTCTAAATCATGCAACACTCTCAACATAAGCCCCAGTTAAATTTATATATGATATTCTTCACATTGGGTTTTTTAGGAAGGAAAAATAACTGAAGGCTTATGGGAAACTTCCCAAATATCCACAGTGTAGCTTCAACGTCACTATGTCAAAAATACACAGAACCAAGAAACGGATAATGAAGTAAATGTGCAAAATGTATTACGTTCTTCAATGAACACAGGGACATACAATTTATAAAATTAGATCACATCTTCAAAATTAAAAACCCGACATATATAAATACCAACAGTTTGTTACAATAAACAAATACCAACAGTTTGTTACAATAAACAATAGCCCACATGAAGCTCAAAACTGGTTTACTCTAAATCAATTTCTTCATACAAAACAAGCTACTTTTAAAAATTACTTCAGAAGAAAGTGGTATGAAAACTGAAACATTACTGCAGCAGATCTTACATTTTTTTCCAAAGGAAAGTCTGCTGGTAAAATGAGACTAAGCTGGAAAAGCTCCTCACCTTTCTGTTAAAAGGCATTTTCTAAACTCAGCTTTGGTCCTTCTAATTACAGAAGGAAGTTTCCTCCTTTTAAAAAAAAGGATTCACACTTCTAAATACAGTTCAATTAGATGCATAAAACAGAAAAAAAAAAAAACAAACCAAGGCCTCTTAACATGCTTTTGTCATTTTAGTTTCTGCTTATTTTTCATCCTAAATGCAGTGAAAATCTATTTGACCCAACCTCTATTTACAAAGAACTTTTACCATAAAGGAAAATTTCAGAGTGAAATGAAGTGAACCTCCTTCCTGCTTTTTCCCATAGGGTGAGTATGGAGAGGGGAAAAGAGCACCCTGACACAGTGACACAGATATGTGAACATGCCAGTGGGCACAAGGAATTCTACAAGTAGGCTCAGAGCAGCTACCTCACTGAGGCTACTGTTGAGCTCTTTGCATCTCTTGTTCTGGACCAGCTGAACCAAAAAGCACTGCCCCTGAGGGGGCTGGAAGAGAATGTCAGAAAAGTTCCTAAAATTGTATCAGGCGTCTATTCCCTTCTGCCTGTGTAAACATCGTAAGATTCAATACTGGAATTTAAGGCTTCTGTCACAGTACACACTGGCATTTAAAACAAATCTTTAGGATTTTCAGAAATTCTTCTCATGGAACAGAGTATACTTTTGCTGAGGTTACCAGGTTCAAATATATAAAGTGTGCAGATCTGCTCCTCTTTACGCAGACAGTATTCTTTTTCTCACGTGATGAAGACTCAGTCAAAATGCTGTAAGGTATGAGGAATCAACTGTGCTGTAATGGAACTTCAGTTATCTTGCAGCAGAGAGGGCATGTAACTTTCCACTAACAAAGTGCAGATTTGGAAACCTGAGGACAAGGATCCCAAAGTGACACTGCTCTCCTTAAGCTGCCACTGTCACAGTTAAAAGTTTTTACATGTTTATTATGCTGCCAGTCCCATTATGGCTTTTATTGTCTTAGATGTTATACTGTTTCCTTTTCTAACATTTCTTCTGATACTTTGCTTCCTGAAGTATTGTCATCATTAGAATAATTTCCTGAGTCTCGACTTCTCTGTTTAGAAGATTTGTAATCTTTGAGAACAATTTGATTTACTTCTTCTGTGATGATAGTCTCAATTATAGAACAATTTTCTATTGGTTCTTCTGCAGTTAACAAATAAGGACTGCTAAAAAGCTGTCCTCCAAAACCCTGCAAAAAAAGAAGCAGAAAAAAAAGAGATGAACATTCATGCGTAATACCTAAATAATGATTCTGCTTAACACCGCAGCTGTACAAATCTGGTTTATCATGTTCAGCAGCATCATGAGGTTTTCTACGGAACTAGGTGATCTTAAGGTCCTTTCCAACCCTGACTATTCTATGATCCTATAATACCATTTGTTTCCTTAAGTTCACAAACTCAAAGTTAGGGCGAAGTTTAGTTGCATTCGTAAAATCGAACACTGAAGAATGACTACCATTAATCTTAACTCTTCCACTATGCCTGTAGTTGTCAATCATCTATATAATTGTGGTACTTTATTGACTATAGACTTATGAGGCCACAGAAGACCTAAAGAAAAACCCTAATTTAGACAATTTTCAAAGATCATATGGTAGCATGGGAATGAGGTGTATGCTTGTGAAGTCTACAAATCATCAGTTATAAAGCAAAGTTTGAAACAAAGAAGAGGAAGTAAGCTGCTGCAAGCCTTATAAAGCTCTCAACAGTGCACTCCTGCCTATTCTATGTGCTTTAAATCTATTCTCTGAAGTGGTCATTTATATCGAACCCATCACAAAAGTTTCCAAATATGCACTGCAGTTATTATGTTTACCAGTAATGCATTAATTATGTTACCATTCTACTAAACAAACCAGCTAAAATGCTGCCTTACAAATAACTTAAATTCAGATTTGCCCTTGTAAACTACAAGACTGGTTTTAAATTACCACTTTATTCAGAAAGCTTCATATGCTGCCTATCCTAGGAGCTTCAGTGAGATGATGGCATGATGACCTATGTAGGAAGGTAATACAGTGCTCAACATCAGTGTTTGGAGACTCACAGAGAAAAACACAGTGAAAAGCATTTCAAAATACACCAATACTTACATGTTGCCCTGTTCATTTCAGAACAGGATCCCTACCAAGTACTACCTGTGCCAAGCTCAGCTGGGAATTGGACAACACCTGCCTTTTTAGAGACCAGGTAGGCTGGTAGGTCAGGACACTGTAGAAATATTTGCTGCCTGCTACACTAAAATTTCCTCTAAAGACTGGGCTTGCATTTTCACCTCCTCTGAGCATTAAAGGCTGGCAAAAAAACTACAGCATGCTCTTCCAGGTAACACAACTGGAAAGGATTTCTGGTCTCAGCAGGGCAAAAGCATAGTATCACATTGGGTAGACATGCACACACTCCGGCATGAGTGTATCTCTTTTGCACAGATAGAAATAAAACCTTAGAACTTAAAATATTTGCTAAGCACAGAATTCTAGAAATCAACAGTACCCATTTTTTCCATATCTGCACTCTCTTAAAACTTCTATAATTAATCTTGGCATACCCTAAGACCACAGGATAACAGCTAAACACTTCTGAATAATATTTCGCATGCATTTTTCTAAAAATACATCTGCTTAACGAATAAGAAAAATACATCTCATCTTACCTCTATATTCAAAGGAGGTTGGCATGATGGAAAGAACACGTATCTGATTTTACTGTAGGCTTGATACAGGGCAAAACCAAGAGGCACAGCCACAAGGAAGACAGCAATCAGGGCAATTACAAACGTTGCTAAAATGACCAGAGGCAAAATTTTATCTAAAAAAAAGTTAGTAAAACACGTTCAGCCTAGGTATTCTTGAACTACAACCATTACAGAACACGTTATTTCCAAATCAGCTACAGTACACTTTGCATTTCCACAGTATTATAACCAGCCATGATGATCATTAAACAAATGATGCCATTCCAATATCTGAAAGTTATTAAAAAAACAGCACAAAATACTCATTCTTTATAAGAACACAGGCATTTCCAAACAGGATCATCAAGTTATTCCCAGTTATATTTCACTACTCGACAGCAGGACAAAAAGGCTGCACATAGCTACCATGAAGCACTTGCTGCATGTGTATCTATTGTGCTATTGCGTGCATGCAGGGCCTAACTCCAAGGCACAAGGACTTGGGGGTATTGGTAAATGAAAAATTGGACCTGACCTGGCAATGTGTGCTTGCAGCCCTGAAAAACACCTGTGTCCTGGGCTGAATGAAAACAAGTGATGGGGAGGTGATTCTCACCATCTATTCCACTCTGTGAGACCCCACCTGGAATACTGCATCTCTGTGGACCCCGGCACAGGACAGACACAGACCTGTTAAAGCAGGTCCAAAGGAGGGCCACAGAATTGGTCAGAGGGTTGTAACACCTCTCCTAGCAAGAAAGGCCAAGAGAGTTGGGGTTATTCAGCCTCGAGAAGAGAAAGCTGCAGGAAAGCCTTATTGTGGCCTTTCAACATTTAAAAGGGGATTATAAGAAAGATAGAGAGAGACTTTTTATGAGGGGCTGTAGTGATGGGACAAAGGGCAATGGTTTTAAACTGAAGGAGAGTAGGTTTAGATTGGACATAAGCAAGAAATTCTTTATGAAGAGGGTGGTGAGGTACTGGAACAGGCTGCCCAGAAAAGTTGTGGCTGACCCACCCCTGGAATGTTCAAGGCCGGGCTGGATGGGGCCTCAAGCAGCCTAGTCTAGTGGAAGGTACCCCTGCCCATGGCAGGGGGTTGGAACTGGATGAGCTTTAAGGTCTGTTCCAACCCAAACCAGTCCGTGAGTCTATAGTCCTGCATTCCTGTTTTAACCCAGGAAATACGGAAAACCTTGTAATAAGCTAGACTCAATTCCAGGACTTAAAGGCGAGACGTTATGGTAGAAGGAGTTTACATGACAGAATCCAGCTTTTGATAGCAAAATATCGTAGTCAAAGAAATCTTTTATCTGTATATTCATGAGCTATTCAGTGCTTAAGTTGCAAGAGTTTTGCAAGCTTCCTCCTCCTTTCCACCCTTATGCTTTACAACATATTCTCTGGCACTATCTCTTTAACAAACAAACAAACTGAAGAGAGTTTGAACATACTTAAACCAATACATACCAGGAAACACTTTACAAATAAACAAGCTGAGAAAATCAGGTCTTTTTATCTCTATTTCCAGTTAGTACAAATGATCAAAGAAATAAAGATTTCCTCACTGGGATACAAGAATGTATAAGAAGTACAGGGCTGTCTCTCAGTACTGAGTCTTGGGATGTACTGCTTGACCTTAAACAGCCTCATTATTGTAATATGATATAGATAGATATCTATATAGAAGGATACAGGGAAAACTAGTAGCCGACTAGTAAAATACATAAATTATGTTATGAAGGTAAAAAAGTAACTTCTATTTCTTCTTAGGCTTGATAAAGACAAAGCAGTGAGGACTACAATATAAATGAATCCTAAAAGCTTAAGATATGAGAAAGCAGCATTACTATTATTACATTTTCTCAGCTTTAAGGCAGTTTGGGTATTTAGTAATGTTTCCAGCATTACAGCTGCTAATACAAGATAACTGGCCAAATTAAATTCAACAGATAACTGCCTCTTACATTCTGAGTATAATCCATCTACAAATGTATTCTTGTTTTGCAAAAGGTAAGTTTTCAGTTATAACAAGCCTGATGATTTGTCTCTTCACACTTTAGCACAGGAGTTTTTTTGAATACAATTAATTCACAGCAGAATTAAGACCAAAAAAAAGGACTACTTAAAACAGCATTTAGTGATTCCTTGCATCCTCCTAAAATATCTTGAAAGCACTGGAAATTAAAGCCTGCCTATTAACAAGGCATTATACATTGTAATTCATAATCATTACAGTTATTAACCTGAGATAATTTCTAAACTGAGTTGTATTCTAGAATAACCAAAATGTAATTGTGATCAGGTCAGAACAGCAGCAGTTTAGCTGTAGGAGAGAACACAGATCAGCAAAGTAACAAGACTGACAATTTTGATCTCTGCCCAACTAGGTGCCAACTCTGTGAGGCCATCAATTCATGCTGCAAATGTTTTTTAACTAGTGAGACTTGCAAAAGCCTATAAAGGGGTTAACAATTTTCCTTCCAGAGGTATAACAATTCCCACACTCTTCCTACCTCCAGGTGTTTTGATGCATTCCTCTTTGCTGAAATGACTGCTTTTGTTATAAGCTTCTGAAAATGCCTGTACTTTTACACAGTACAAAGTCGAGGGTCTTAGATCAGAGATTGACCCTATTGTCTGTTTTATCTCTTTCACTTTGATTTCCTCCTGAAAAGGAAAAAAAAAAATGGAAGAATAACACGCAAGAGTCACCCAAATAGATTAGAATTTTGGCCTCTACTGAAGAAGTAATTCTGTAAGGTCAGACACTGCTCTGTGCTTGGCTTAAACAAAAGAAACCACACATCTCTCTCCTAAGCAAACACATTCAGGAAACACTTTTTGGCAAAAATCAACTGCTTTCACCATACTGAAATTTTACAGTTCAAAGTGGTGTGCAAAGCAAAACCTTTTCCTGTTGCAGTTTGTTTTCTTCTTCCATGCATTTACACATACACATTTACCGATTACTGTAAAATATTTTACTGTAAGTAGCATTTAAAGAATATGGAAAGATCCATTAAAACATGAGTTAAAAGCATGAAAGCCTTCATTGTTTTATGATACATATAGTTATGTATCATATAGCTAAACTACAAATACACAAAGAAAAGAATTTGAGAGGCTGGAAGCTACATTTAATTCAGGCAGCGCACACAGTCATATGGTAACAAAGACAGTGCACAAGAACCCTACAACTTCCATACTAAAGTGAGCTATTGAGCAGTTTGTACAAAACTCAGTGCAATTCTGCAAATCATTACACTTTAGCCACATCAATGGAAGAAGATTAAAATCTCAATTACTTTGTGATAAAAGTCATCTTGACCAGATTTTTAAAAGAATCTTTCAGCAAAGCAAAATAAAACAAATCAATTGCATGACTGATAAACCATATACGTGCCTCTTTTGAAAATAAGCTTCTTAAGGAGAGCTCAAACTCTGTATTTAAGTCATAACAAATTTTATCTACTGTTTTAAGTACTGAACTAGTTCATACCTCATTATTTGATGAATTCGTCCAATATAGAACCCGGTAAGACAAGTCATAATGGTCCCTCATGACTTCACTCTCAGATCCTCCTGGAGGAGAAATCTGGATATGGAGCAAAGCATTACTGATGTCCAGCTTTACACCAGGAGGGCCAATTTCATCTTAAGATGTTTTAAAAAAAGAAAAAAATAAAAATAAGACTGAAATAATAATAATAAAAATAATAAATGCATAACATACTGTAAATTAAATGTGTCCATTTTAAAGAACGTGTACTTCAAAGTCTAACTTGACTAATAGCTTTATTCAGAATCTCAAGTCCTGAGAAATATTTCAGTTATTTTCTCTTTCCACGTTCATATATTGCTTCTGCAAGTTTCAGTGACATGAAATACACAGGCCATAGGATCAATTCTGTGCCTGCCAAAGTGAAACAGCTCATCACGATACGGACCCTCTTTTTCATATATACCCTCTTTCACAGTTATAGTTGAAAAGTGAGAAGCATGACAGTTTTGTTTTCTCTTGATGCATTACTTACCTAGGTTCTGTTATGTTACTGAAGAATAATCTAATTACCAAGACTCTGGAGATAAACATTTCTTGACATTTATGACGGACTTGAAGTCAAATCTTTTAGTAAGGTCACATTTTCACAAAAATCAGAAAGTACAACAACGATAAAAATTACTGTAATTTCATTCTGGAAGGTGTGTCTTTGACTTAGAAGTCACTATCTTTTAAGACTGCTTTTCCATGAAGCTCTTCAGGGTTGTATGTGAATGTAATACTGCATCAGCACAAAATTCAGGGTGCACTGTGCAGTGGTAGAGAGAAGGAGATGAGAGATGATGCACAAGAAAATAAAGGCAGTAGATTCTGAAACTATTCGACTTTGGCATCACTTTTCTGAGATAAAGATGTGCTCCCTGTGAATGGAAAAAGTCAGACTAGGGATATTTCTAGTACAAACACACACAGTGATTAATGTAGTACACAGTGAGATTATAAAATGCCACATAAAGGCAGTTTTATGGTTCAGTTTTGTAAAGGAAATGATATTCTAAATACAGTGAAATACTGGCTGTGCTGAATTGAGAAGACAATGGAAAAAACTCCTGTTTAACTAGATGAGGTCAGGATTCACAACAGTTTCTGTAGAGGAACTGTGTATTCAGTTTCACTAATCTAGCAAGTTTCTTTTTGCAAATAACAGCATTAAGTACAAGTTTGTGGAGAAATGTAAATTTAAGAAAGCACGTTGCTTACTTGTTATCAGAGGATCTACTTTTACTTCATTAGACAAACATGATCTATTATATTCATTTATGGCCTGCACACGGAGGTAATAAGATCCATAAGTAGTAGTGATGATAGACGAAAAGTTGCACTGTTTATCAGTGATGTTTTCACACCCGTGTACATTGAGCCACTTCACTGAGTAATCATCATGAAGTTTCTTCAGATACCCACTGCAAGAGATATTTTAATAGTTTTTGACATGAGGCCTTTGAACTCAGGGTAAAAAGGGGGGGGGGGAGGAAGAGCATGCTGACTTGTGTTAGTTACTTAGGGGGTTTTTAATTTTGGAAGAATGGGCCTCTTAGAAATTTCTTATATTTGGAATATCATTTTTTCATTTATAACTGAAACAATGAAGTTAACTGGATCAGGAAACATGAATTAGTGCTTTACCAAGCCTCAATAGAAGGATTATGTATCAGTTTTATAAATTTTTAAAATCCAAGTAAGTTTTCATATAGTTCCATTAAATTGAATATTTTTCTGTCATGACAAAGGAATTCTGAAAGAATGATAGAGGTTTCTCTCCGCTTCATTTAGATGCTGACCACAATATTTGTGCAACAACTGGATACTAAGATACAGTTTTATGTACGTGATGGGGTTTTTTCCATGCTGGGATTTGACCAGAAGTAATCAAACATGTTGACAATTGAAACCTTGAATACCTTCATTTTTACCCACTTCTACTCATCTAATTTCTAATGAAGCAATGCAAACATCTTTTACAACTTAATATGTATTTAGTAGTCCATTCCATCTGGTATTTACACTCTTAAAGAAGCCTAGTACCCTGAAATTCTAGAATATGATGTTACATGCAATCCTTTCAAAAGCCACACTGTCCAGATGAGGTACCCCAATGTAACAATGAAGAGCTACTTTTTGTAAGTATTTCACTTTAACTTCTAGTAACTATTTGCAAAATACAATGGATGGCATTTAGAACGACAAAGCCTCTTTAAACAGAGATATGGAAAATCTTTAACTCACATGAGATACTGTACATTGTAGCTCACATGTTGTTTATACTGATTAGTCCAATGCAGATGAAATTCCATATTCAAAGCAAGAATTCTCAGATTTGTTGCACAGAGTAGGTCATTCACTGCTCAAAATAAAAAGGAAATATACAATTACTGGAAAGTTTTATATTATGTATAACAATTTCTCACTGAATGGGTATTTCTCATGTAAATGGTCCAATACTTAAAAAAAGTCTGTTTTCATTCATTATAAAGATGGCAAACCAAAGTCAGTGATATAATATACAGCATATTAAGCCCTTAGTAAAAAGAAAAATTACTTAATTCAGAAAAATTAAGAAACTTGAGATTAGTAGAAACAACCTGGTTCAGCAATAACTTGATGAGAAAAACATGTAAAATACACATGTATAAACATGAAGTAATTTTGATGTACCATCCATTCAATCTAATGTTTGACTTTTGACATTCCGACAGTAATTCTTTTCCTGAAACAAACATTTAGAAATACTTAAACTCCCAGCTGAAGCACACACAAAAGAATTTAGAGCTGCAAAACAAGCAACTGGTAGCAAACTGCCACTAAGCCATTCTTCAAAATCGGTAATAATAAATTCACCAAGGCCTACATAAAAAACAATATTACTTTAAGGTTAGCACAACTTCATATGCATTCACTTACTGCCAAGTATACAAAAAGCTTTTGTTTTGCCTACATACACATCCCTTTCCTCCTGATTCAGTCACAAATTCAAATATTCAATTTTCCAAAATACAGCAAGTAGCTTTTGCAGTACAAATTAATGGATAGAATTTGCCTCAGAGCAAAATCTTTTTTGTACTACTAAGGCTAATATTGATAGGTGACATATTTTATACTGATTTAAAATAGAAAATTTACATCACTGTCAAGACTGCTGTTATACCAAAATGAATAAGAATGTAGTACTTCTGACTATTTCTATTGCTTTAGAACAATTTACTTTGCAACAATTTAAGTAATCATTTTAAGATAAGATGATTTTACTCTGTACCTTTACGGGTTGTTTTTATACAATGAATAGGACTGAATAAACCTTCCTGCAGTTCCAAAGGAAGAGTTGCTTGAACTTTCAAACAATAGGTAGTGTCTGGTGCAAGATCATCAATTGTGTCAGTAGGAAAAATACTTTGACTTCTGAACTGTAAGAAACAATTGCAAACAGCGTTTGAAGAGAACTGTTCTTCCTTATGAGCAGTACTTTTTTTATCCCTTCTCCAGGTTTCAGCCCATTTATATATTATGCCTTGAAAGCGCTAAAATAGGGAATTGAGGACAATATGCAAGCTGAATAAATGCTAAAGGGAAGTCCCAACTTAGCCACGTGACTGAAAGGAAGGAATACATCATGCTCCTTTAAACACATGAAAGTGTGGAGGGATTGTGGCACCGCTCTACATAACGCATTACTCACCACACAGATTCAGGCATACAGTCAGAAGAGAAATAGTACACTTCCGTCCTTCAATTAATTGAGCAAAAACTTCCCCTTCCCTCTCTCGCTACCTCTCTGCTTTCAGTTTACCTGACTTTCCAGTGACTAACCTTTGCACACAGCTTGTACTTAAATTAAAGCTTCCTCCCCACACACTTTGATGTGTAATTATAACTATGTCTTCAAAAGGAACATAGATACTCTTTAGTTCCTGCCCTAATCTAGCTGGCACCCATTCCCCTAAAAGAATAAGGGAAAAGAAAGACTGCTTCTACTTTGGTCTTTACAGAATAACTGGAGTTGCTGTATGAGATGCATATTATGGCTTGGAAACTAGTTCACAAATTCAAGACCTCAAAAGAATCCCTCAAAAACCCCAACCTACAGTGTAGAAACAGAGACCTTAGTTAATGACACAGAACATTATACTGACAGCTTTAGTCAAGCTCTATGGTCTCGGTAAGATCAAGTTAGCCTCTTGCTTCTCCCCTATATCTTTGCCTTACTGTAAATGCTTCTTCCCACTGCCTTGAACTCTTTCCCTCCCTGTTCCTGCTGGCTGAGGGTGGCTCCTGATCCAACACATCTGAGATAGTTTCAGCTTCTTCCTCATGCATTGGAAATCGGGTTCATAGAAATAGAGACTCTTCCTACAAAATATCTAAGGCAATCCTCCAGTAAAAACAAAACCAAAAAAGCAAACACCCTCTCCCAATTTTTAGGCTGCATAGCAGTTATACACAGTTACCTAATTAAACCACTCTATTTTAGAGCATGAAACAATTAAAGTGCATCTCTGACAGTTATGTTAAGGTTAAAAAGTAATAATAAAATAAGTGATCATACCTCTGAATTTGATGAACTTTCCCAGAGAACGACTTTATATTTAAAATCTAGAGGGGTTATCCACATTTTTCGGGCCTGATTTTCTTCTGGAGGAGAAACCTTTATTTTTATAACTCCATTTATGGACTGCAACACTATTCCTGGGGGTCCAATCTGAGCTGCAAATATTAAAAGAAAAAAGTCAAGCATGATTACTTAAAAAAAAAAAAGTAATTTACATTCATAAACCCATACTAATTGCCTATAGTATCTTATTTTTAACTATTCTAAGACAACAACAAGACCGCAGTAACTGCCTATAGGATCTTAGTTTTCATGAATCTCAGTCAGTACCTAATAGAAATCTATTTTAACAACCATGCACTGCTACCTGGTTCTAAAAGCAATGTTACTTATTAAATGGTTTTTAGAATCTGCAGTGAAAATCAGCATAAGTTTTCCTCAAACATGCAAGGCAAGAAACCTAGCTCAAAGAAATCAATCCAATGTTGAGGGAAGGCTTCAGCAGCATACTATACTGTGACTACTGAAAAGTCACAAGGTTAGAAGAAAACTTCCAGAAAAGCCCAATGTCAAAAAGGATTTTCTGAATTCTAGAAAAATACAGACTGACAGAAAATTGTCAGGAAAAAACATCACTTACAATATTTTCCCCTTCCTGGAAAGAGAGAATCATAACACTCCATGACCTGCAAACACCTTAAATTATGTTAAGATTGAGAAAACCACCAGCTCCTGTTGTAATGAGCAATGGAAAAACCATACAAATTTTTTTCCACATTAATGTCCTGAAGAACATTTAATGTTACAGTATATACGGAGCTCATACCTATAAAATATGGAATCATTTCAAAAGTGCTAGACCATGGAGACACTTCTTCCCTTCTTTCAGCCCTTATACGCACATGATAAGTATCATAGTATTCAGTTATTGCTGAGGAAAAGTCACATTCTGTGCAAGTAACATTTTGACACCCAGGCAACCCCTTCCACTCTGTTCCATTTGTCTCAGTATTTTCAAACCTGTAAGAAAGAAAACACACCCCAAAATGAAACTAAGACGCAATTTAAGTCTTGAGATTCTTTTTCCTATTCTTCTTAATGCTAGTAAATGTCACACCGTTTAAAGCTGTTTTATCACCAACACCAATGCAATCAATCTTATCTACTTAGTTACCCTGGAATTCATATTGCAATTTTAATTCTTTAATTGAATCTACTAATGTATTAAGTTAACCTTATTGCCAAAAGTTAACTATCACTCTGAAAAGTCTGACACCAGCTTGCTTTATTTACCACATAAACACATGGTATCAGAAAACAACATCAAAGAATGGTCGAAATCCAGAATTATATCCTTAGTACACAATCCCAGGCTGCCAAGGATTTTATAATTTGTCAGAAGAAATTTAAAAGTCTTGATGGCAAGATGTGCTTAAAAGAGCATAAAAGCAGCAAAAATAAATCCAAATTCTGACATCAGCAAAGAATGTAGATTCGGAGGAAAAAAAAGAAAGGAGAAAAAGGGAGTTCAGCACTAAGTGTTGGAATAAGTAGATTTATAGAAGCTATTTTTCTTGTGGGTTAACAAACATACACACCTTATTTAAGAAAGAGACATTTCATACAGAGATTAAATACGGCCTGACCAGAAAAGAGGCACAGACTTGAAATAGTAATTGTTTATCCTCAATGCCTATTTTATCTTTTAGACCAGTATTATATTTTTAAAACAAAACTGTTTTCAAAGCAGCTCTTTCATCTACACATTGAAGATGAGGAAGTGTTTGGTGTTGGCTTTTTCTTTTTAAATAAACCTAAAATTATACACTAGGCAATCCTAAAATAAAGAACTTTCTGTGTTTTGTTAGTTTCTTGTCAGAAAAATACAAATATTAAAAAAATACCAAATGTGTAAAACCAAGGAAACATTTAAGAACAAATATGGTTTCACATCTGGTGATTAAAATTTGCAGACAAGAAATCTAGATTCATAAACAGTGACAAATTACCCAAAAACTACACTGAAAATTCTCTCAAAATCTGTGTGTGTGGCCACAATGTACCTTAATTTAAAAGCAAAACAAACACACACAATGTCATGCCCCCCACCCCCAAGAAAACCAAAAAACTAAACCCAATCCAAATCACCAGAGAATAAATAAATCTAAATACTGCATTTCTTAGTGCACAGGTTAATCTTCTCAAAGAACCACTTGATTGTTAAGCATTACTACTAGGGGTGTCCTGCATTTATAACACGTCACAATTGGTGAACAGTCTAACTTTAAATATGAATTAGAGAAATGAAGGACAATACTTGGATTCCACTTCAAGACTTGGTCTTCCCAGCCTCTACTTTCTGGATTTCAAACCATCTCCAGGAGTTTTATGTGACAGTATTGAGAAGTATAGTAATTAATTAATATGCTGTTCTACACAAATATGTGTCAGACATTGCTGGCTTAGAATAAAATTACTATTTACCACCTGTATTCTGCTGAAAATGTCACATTGGTATCATTCCCAGTGTAGTTCCAACTTAGAGTGAAATTTGTATTTACAACATAGACCTGAACATCCTCCGGACTCCTCAGATTAGTTTGGCCTACAAGAAAGTAACATAAAGGTATATAAAGATTGTGATAAATACTTTGTACACAACTCCCAAGAATAACTTCTGTTAAAAAAGTAGTTTTACAGTGAGATAACAAAAAACGTAAGAGTTAAGAAAACACCACACTACTCAAATGACACTTCAATATATAGCTCAGGAGGTATATACTCAAGTGCCATATATATGTATTATCAGAGGTGCATCAGGTAGCTCCTCTCCTTGTTTGACTACACAGCTCCTTCCTCTGTGCTTAAAATCTTTCTCCCCACACTCCTTTAAAAAAGGTCTGTACAGTTGTAACATTCAAGGCCTGTGTTCTCTTGATTACAAGCAGTCTGAAATGCCTTTAAGCACATATTTTATTAGTTGGATCCAACATCTGGATCTCAGCTGCACACTGCTCGGGATTGACCTAACACTGTCATTTCACAGTTGCAAAACAGACTGAACACAGCAGACTTGTTTTATGTCACGTGTTACTCCCATAAATTAAATGTATTGAGCATAAACCCCCTCATGCAATACTTCATCGCATGGCAGATCTTGTATCTTGTTCAGAGTAATCCTGGGTTTTCTTTTACACAAATTGCAGTGCTTATGGACTTACGGAGGGCAAGTGCTAAGTCTCAAGACACGTATAAGAATGTCCATAACATCAAGGGAAGAACCAGCCCATGACAAGAGAAAGCTTAACCGGCAGCTTGCCAACAGGAGGGAACCATGCATGCTAGAATCATCTGCTGGAGAGCTTGCTCTCTCCTCTATTTTCCACCATTCAAAAATACTTTAAAACCCCCAAATGCCTCGTAATTGCCTTATATTCCACTTCCTAAAGAAGACTCTTTTACCATTAACTTCGAGATATGCAGAATCCTAGGTGTCCCGTTCGAGATACAATTCAAGTATCAGAGGCCAATGAGGCTAACAATGCTGTGGCAGAAGGAATTACTCTGATACTTACAGAAACTGAAGCTTATCCAGCTATTTCTAAGGTACTTTATTTTGAATTACTTCACAGCAGTATCTGGCACTGCTTCAAAGCGGTGAGGCAAGAAAGTTCTAATCAGGGCTGAAAGTCTGGACTGGAAGTTTTCTTTACGAGAAACTAAACCAGGCTGTGGTTTACAGAGCAAAGGTAAACAGTGTGAAGGCACAGGGAATATGTGTGAACTGAAGAAACCTCAGGCAGAAGCCACTAAAATTATACCAAAACCACCAACCAACAATATCCAGATTTACAGATCTTAAGCTTCATCTAAATCCTTCTGCCTGCTACCCTATACCAGGTACTGCTGACAACCCAGGCTATGTACAATCTAGCCAGCAAATACCTCTGTCTTCTAAGAATGCACTTTAATCTTCGAACACATCAGGGGAAAAAATAATAAATTCAACAAAATAATTTTTAAAAGATCAAATCACCGTGGACATCTCTGGCTTGACTCTCTATTTTTAACCAGTTATGTGTCACATTATTAATCACCTCCCAATGGCTACAACTTCTAAAAACATACGTTAGTGACCATGTTTCTGAAACTGCTTTTTGATTATATTAGGAAGAAATCAGAATAAATACATCCTATTTCTCCTGGGCAACCAAAGTCTGTTTGCACATCTAATGGGTTATCTTGAATTTGATTTTCACACTGGCCCTTCCTTGCAAAAACTGTTTCATATTTTACATGATGACCAAGTTCTCTTTATGAAAAGGAAAGGTATATGGAAAAGTGATCTATAAACTGAAGTCTCCAAGACCTTTTTGAAGTCTTGGAGTTGAAGTGGTATGCACAGACTTTTGTAAATGACTCCTGAAAGCACAAAACTTGAAAGAAAACTAATTCAATAAAACCCTGTGGATCCCACTACAGGAGTTTCTTCCACAATGCATTAATTTGTTACTCCTCTAAGCTGAAAGCCCAGAGAGCGCCAAACTACATTTGATCATCAGAAAATAAGTAAGCAAGCAACTATTTTTTTCAGATATTTATCTAACAGATGGCTACAGTTCAGCCAAAAAGCTTATGATAACATAAGCAGCTAGTTCAGATTTTTCCAAAAAACCAGCAGTTTTGAATATTTATAGCTCTTCACAGAGGAAATGCTCACTTCATGGGAAAACATTATTTTCACTTTATTTGAGAATGTTTGCATTAAGAATCAAAAAGTCTGGAAGAAAAAGGTTCCACTGGCTTTTAATAATAATAATTATAATAATAATCATAATTTAAAGCACCCCCCACACACACAATTCTGCTATTACCATAGAACGTATAAGCCTGTCAGAGCCACCAGATTTGTCTGAAAAATATCACCACCTACAGGAATTGAGAGATTGAACGTTATAATCTTGCTTAGCAAAACTAATTGCTTCATGAGCCAGTGGAAGATTATTTAAGTGTCGTGATACAGCATAACACCTTCAATTTCAGTTGTAAAGAAACATCAACAGATTGACATCATTGACATCTAAAGGGCAGGGTAGTGCTTCTCCCTGTAACTATGTGTATTCATGTATTTGCAGAGACTTAAAAAATATAATTTATACACTCAATCTGTTTATTTATCTTACTAAACAGTATGATGAAAAACCTGTTTCAAACCATCTTTTTGGAATGTGATTCAACCTCTGACATTTGAATAGCCTCCTAGAGCAGACCAAAAGTAAGATCTGGTTTCCTGAATTCTCTAGTAGCACACATACCAGGTTTAAAAACGTGCCACAGCAGTACTAAACTTCTAGAAGTCTTTACAACAAGAGATTCCCAATGTACATTCTTTACCTTGAACAACATAAAACCTCAGAGTAAACCATAAAAACATAGGGTTAGATAACACATAGTATTAGCTGAGAACAACAATGCACCTACAGAGCTCCAACATAGAAAAAAAAAATGCTACTGTATCTTAAGACTATTATTTTTGTCTTTCTTGTTAGGAAATAAAATATTCACTGCACTCCCAAAGGAGCTCTTCCACGTTTCCAAATCCTTATCTTATACACAGCATAAAGCTTTACAATAAATATTTTTCATTTGAGGTCAAATAGGAAAAAGGAAGCCTGGAAGCAGAAACAAAACGGTTTCAAGACTCATGCTCTAACAAGGTATACTTTCTTGCCAAGCTACACAAAGCATGCTTATGTAAGACATCCAACTAATGTTTAAGTAAGGCCAGCTTTTGTTAAAGCTGGTAAATACCACGGGAAATAATCATATCCTCTCCCTGGATACAAACAGTATTGTAAAAAAATGGGTCTGGATTCTAACTTTTGGAAGAAGATACAGCATTCCAGCCCTGCAGTAGGAGTACACACGGAGAACTAAAGGGATTTATTCCAGAACAGCTTTGGTCACAGGCCCAAAAGACGACTGTTGCAAGCCTTGGGTCTGACTGCCTTTTTCTTGGAGAACTTCCTCATGCAATTCTGAACAAAGCTGGGCTCCAACTTGACATTTACCCTTTTTTAATCCTCCTTACAAACTGCTGAAACAAGGTATTAAGAGCTGTTTTCAATGGCACACAACTACCTTTACTTTAATAAACAGAAACATACTATTCAGAGATATCACCTGTAAAATTAACTTAAAATCCACTACAGGGTTAAAAGTAACTGGTACCAATTACAATTCAGGAAATTCTCAAAACGTTCAACAACAATGTACAAGTGTGAGAGCACTTACAGTCAGTGCACAGCAACGGTCAAAAAGGAAGAAAGTTAAAAACTCATACAGAATTATGGGAGTAAAATATAAAGCTTAACGTCATTATATAAATTCATTTTAGACTTATTTCCCAACACTGCATGCAGCTCTAGATTGCCCACTCTTGTCATAGAACAGAACAAGAGTGAGAAGGGTGACAAGGACAACCCAAGATATGGAACAACTTCGGTCCTGGGAGGAGTAAGAACGTGATTCTTCAGCCTGAAAATGAGATGGAAGGGCAGCTGTGATAGATTTACAGACGCCTAGTGAGTGGCATGAAGAATGCAAGCAGCCAAAGATTGTTTGCTGTTGTCTTAGCACTAAGCTGGAAGCATCAAATCAAGCACGACTCTGCTCTAAGCAAACAAACTGAACTGTTGCCTTACTGGATGCTTAGTCAACCTGTGGAATTCCTTCCCTCAGGACCCTCTGAATGCTCAACCCTTACCAGGCTTATGAACTCAAGAGTGAAATACAAAGTCTCAACACTACAGACTGCCATAACACTATGTTGTGAAGTGTCACTATATACTTGATTTTTCATTCGTACCTAACCACTGCTGTAGATGAGCACTGGACTGGACACACACACACACACACACACACACACACAGCACTCTTTGTAGACCTATCTCAAGCTTGATGAGATACTTTCCTCCTTGCCCTGGTAAGGAAACCAGATGATTGCTTCAGAAGGGGCTCCCAGTCCTGACTGACAATCAAACTATCTTTACCACAAAATCAAATATCTTATTCAAATACCTATTTATTGAGGTTTCCAGGTCACAATTATGCTCTTTCATCTGTTCATCTCCTGTTGCAGATAGAAAGAGGGATCTAGTCAGAGAGACAGCTGTAATTTTTATACTCTGAGGAATGTCTTTGGTTGAAATTTGTTAAAAGTTAAATGATAATCAATTCCATTTGATTTACATTAGCTATTATGAAGAAGCTCTTCACTAAGAGGGTGGTGAGGCACTGGCACACACTGCCCCGAGGAGCCGTGGATATCCCATCCCCGGCCAGGTCGAACAGCGCTTTGAGCAACCTGGTCTAGTGGAAGGTGTCCCTGCCCATGGCAGCGGGTTGGAATTAGATGAGCTTTAAGATCCCTTCCAACCCAAACCATTCTGTGATTCTATAAATTTTAACACTTCATAATCACCCATTCATATATTTGAAGCACAGAAACTAAGCTGTAAGAAACCTTGTAAGGTCACCTGTACTTCACACTGAAGAAAGCAGGTGGCCAATTCTACATACACAACAGATGTTTGCATAAAGATGCCCTATGGTTTCCACCACCAAATAATCTATTTTTCACAGGTGTCTGACCTGAAATATTTTGCTATCCTTACCACTAGAGATTAGAGAAATCTTTCTGTAAATCAAAAGCAAATAACTCCCAAATCAGATTTCCTAATAGATTCTACTGGAGGTCTGAATCTTTGCAGAACAGATCCAAGTTTCCTTACAGCAAGGACACTTGCTTAGCTGCTGTTCATAGTCCACAAGTTTACATACTGCAAAGCCCAGAGTCAAGCCTACATCTCCCCTAAGCACATAGCCCATGTAACTTTGTCAATGGATATTAAAGCATATTATTCGTTAAGTCAGTCATACTTGAAAACTATGTTAACCATGACTAACAATAAAAACTGAATGGCAGCAACAGTTCTTTTTAGTTTTCAAGACAAATTTTCTAGTTTTCTGAATAACTTTTGTTTTCTTTTGCATTCTCTCCAAATGGTTGAACTTGCTTTAAAAAGCATGCTTCAGAAAATTACAATACTCCAGCTGAGATTAATAAACAGAAACGTAGCTTATAAAACACATGACACAACATCTTCATTCTAATTAGCACTGCTGTGCCCCAATATTTTGAGGGTTTATACAGCATTGCACTTAAACTCCTACACATAAATTACAAGGCATTGTAACATTGCATCTTCCCCTCTCCCTTGAACTGATAGACCATCCTTTGTCATACTCTCTAAAAGGCCCCAACATGTCCTTTTCCAGTACTAGCGTACTTTTTCCTAGAGTATTTCTCCAGTTTGTTGGGATACTTCTCAATCCTACGCCTGCTTTTCAAAGCCATTGTGAGCTCCTCCCATTTAGTTATACCTGGATTTAATAAGCTTGCACTGTTCTCTCATGCATATTACTAGCAGAACCCAATTGATACATCCGTCCCTCTTGACAGTGAGCTGTTAAAAAAATTTGATGAGCTGGGAAAAAAATCATACATAAACTATCTTTTCCAATATGCTTAAGATATTAATACACAACATAGATTCAAAAGCAATACTAAACCAAAATACATGCAACTGGAGCTCCTCTATCTGAACAGCCTTTTACTTTAGTATAGCAGAAACTCATTTAGTATGATATTTGTTCTCAGTACTACAGACATGCATAGACAATACACCCAACCATCCTTTTACATAATACTCCTTAGTTTCAGTGTTTTGTGCGTTCTTCTCTAATTAGTTTTCTTATATCCCAGTGAACAACAATCCAGGAATGAAGGAGTAAACTCAGTAAAGCTTAATTACTGGAAAAATTTTGTTATTTAGCTAGAAACCAGATATGCAAAGTAATACCAAAAAATCGTGACATCTTCCTGGCTTATTTTATCAATTTTTAAAAGCCAGAAATTTAAACTGAATTAATGTTTCTTCACTTAAAGCATAACGACACTTTGGTGTCCAGGACAACACTAAGAGATAAGACTTTATGGAAAGAAGAGGTTAAAGAAAATCTTTTAGCATGATTGCCTATCTTCCTTCCCCCTGGCAAATTTTAATGAACTCAAATAAATACAGAACTGTTCTAATAAAGATCACAATTTATAGCATTTTAAGTAATATTTTGAATAAATGATGGTTAAAAATAATAACATTATAGAATAGCAAAAAAACATTCAGCATCACAAGAACCAGACAGAAGCATCACTTTCAAAACACTTTCAAACATTCAGCATCACTTAGCCAGACAAAAGTATACTCCTTCAGGAGAAAGCAAAGGGGAAATCCCATCGACTACATAATGGCTCAATGATTATCACATAAAGTTTCCATTGGTTCTGCCTCATACTTAAAGTCAACCTTTCCGCATAGGAAGAAAAGGAAGCCTGTTACATGTGACATTAAAAGAGAAGAAGGAAAAAAAAATAAATCAGAATGCCACAGCCAAACACACACCAGAACAACTAAACTGCTGTTGGTTCTGTGAGCAGACAGGGGCTCTAAAGAACGAGGCAGAACTCTTACTGCAAGAACTTTTCTACAGGTGCAGCAAAGAACTGCTGATTTTCACAAGGTAGAAGGCAAGAGGTCACTATAGCAGAGCAGTTACTTCCAATTTTAAACTTAGTATGTGGCATGCTAGTCATCTGATATAACGTGTGGGTTGATCAAAGTACCTGCATGTATCACATGCTTCCAGTCTGGGGATGAAATTTGGGGCTGATACACAAACAATTCACCTACAAACCAAATGGCTGAAAGAAAACAAAGAGAGAAAAGAGGTCCCATTGCTGCTTTTCTGTATGCGATCATGAATGCAAAGTGCAGACCACTGAAAATAGCCTCTCTCTAGTCTTCTTTTGGGTGCACTGAATTAGAATAATACACTCTCCTACAGAAATCAAGAGTTTAGGTGGCATCAGAAGCAGCATGCACACATTAGCCCACAGCTATGATATTTCCATTACTCAAACTAGCTTAGCACATATACTCTCTCTTGCATGTCACAATATCCTCTAAGTATGCAGGAAGATAATTTACTTAAGCCCAGCTCATCCAGGCTACACAACACTTCCCCCTTGAGAAAGGTTTTGTTCAATAGTTCTTTCTTCCTGCCTAAGGAAGAAGAGGCACATATTACCATCTTGCGAGGAAAAAAATCCTTGCCCTGAAATTTTACTACTCTAATTTCCTCATTTATACTTCAGGCTCCGTCAGGTTAGACTGAGATGCCTTTCAACCACGGAATCATCAGGGTTGGAAGGGACCTGTGGAAATCATCCAGTTCAACCCTCCTGCCAAGGCAGGGCCACCTACAGCAGGTTACATAAGAATGCATCCAGGCGTGTTATGAGTGTCTCCAGAGAGAGACTCCACAGCCCCCCTGGGCAGCCTGCTCCTGTGCTCTGCCACCCTCAATGGAAAGAAGCTCTTCCTCGTGCTGAGATAAAACTTCTTGCGTTTTAGTCTATGATCAGTGCTCCTCACCCTGTCGCTGGGCACCACTGGAAAGAGTCTGGCACCATCCTCCTAGCACCCACCTTTTTGATATTTATATGCATTAATGTGATCCCCTCTCAGTCTTCTCAAGACCAAACAGGCACAGCTCCCACAATCTCTCCTCATAACAGATGCTCTAGATCCCCGACCATCCCTGCGGACCCCCACTGGACCCAAAGCAAAAGCAAATCAATAAAACTCAAAACCTGTTTGTCCCCCACTCAAGCTACGGCCGCTACGGCTCACAGACAGCAAGTTAAGCCTGAAGAGACGGAGCCAGATGAAGGCAGACGAGACGTAGACAGCTACTGAACTCTGGAATTGAACCCCAGGCCCTCGACACAAGCCTAGCCCCACTTACCGAGGCAGACAGGCACGCTACCCAGACCCCAAAGCCTGCAAGCCTTTGCACCCCCCGCAACGGGCTCCGGGACCACGTTCCCTCTCCCAGCGCAGCAGAACCGCCCGCAGCGGCACGTCTTCGCGAATGGGTGCCGGTGACACCCCACCCTCTGAGAACGGGTAGGACAACAACCCCAGATGCCATCCGGGTGCCATGCCCGCTCACCGGGACCCACCTGCCCAGCACAGAGGCAGCGCGACCACGAACCAGTACAGAAACGCCGCCATGACCCACACCCATCCACTCCTCAGCGCTAACGGCGCCCGCACCCGTTACCGGAAGCCTGGCGCGGCTGCGCATGCGCGGGAAGGGGTGGAGGCCGGGCAGCCCCGGCAGCAGCAGGTTCGGTGGGGTGAGGAGCGGCTGATGTGGGGGCATTGGTGCTCCTTCAGGCTTTTACTGTCCGGTGGAGGCAATGGGACACGCTTGAGGAGAGGAAGGGAGGCTGGGTGCTCCGCGGAGAGCTGCGGCAGTTGCGCATGTTCCCAGGTTCTGCCGCCTACCCGTGAATCACAGAATCACCTTGGTTGGAAAAGAACTTTAAGATGAAGTCCAACCGTTACCCCAGCACTGCCAAGTCCGTCACTAAACCATGCCAGTGAGGGCCTCATCTGCACGGTTTGTGAACACTTCCAGGGACGGTGATTCCACCACTTCCCTGGACAGCCTGTGCCAATGCCTGAGCACCCTCTCTGTGAAGAATTTTTTCCTAATATCCAGTCTAAACCTACCCTGATGCAGCTTGGGGCCATTACCTTTTTTTTGCCTTACTAGTTGTTGCTTGGGAGAACAGACCAACACCCACCTCACTACAACCTCCTCTCAGGTAGCTGTAGGGAGCGATAAGGTCCCCTCTGAGCCTTCTCTTCTCCAGACTAAGCCCCCGCAAGTTCCCACAGCTGCTCCTCATCACACTTGTGCTCTAGAACCTTCACTAGCTCTCTGGACCCGCTCCAGCACTTCACTGCTATGAGGCTGGTGCAGCTCGCCCAGCATGGGGACCTGTCCCTCGCGGCCGGTTGAAGCAGGAGCAGCAGCGGAGAGGCCGATCACTGGTCTGTGGGCAGCGCGGGCAGTGCCGAGCTGCCCCGTGCCTCCCGGCGGGTGGAGAAGAGCGTTCCTCGGAGGGCTGCTTTATCTGCTTCAGAGCACAACTCCGCTTTCTTACCTGCGCCCAGCAGCCTCCGCGCTGCTGGGTGTGCGCTAAGAAATGTAAGCTAATGCTGCGGTCGGTGTGAGCAGGCGGCCTGCTGTTGGCAGCGGAGATGCTTGGTGTCCTGGTTCATGCAGGGCTAACAGGACCTCTGCCCTCCGGGATGGGGGTTAGTGGTTGGGCAGCTCTGATGTGCTGTCTTAACAGCGCTTGTGTTTCCACCCATTGTTCTGTCCTTTTCTGGTCACTGTTACTTCATCCCAACCTGTGGAAAAGAAAACCTGGGCTTAGAAAATTTGGACTGTTGAGCCTGGAGAAGGCTGCAGGGAGACCTCATAGCAGTCTTCCAGTGTCTGAAGGGGGCCTACAAGGATGCCAGAGAGGGACTCTTCATCAGGGACTGTAGTGTTACGACAGGGAGTAATGGGTTCAAACTAAAACAGGAGACGTTCAGGTTAGATATAAGGAAGAAATTCTTTACTGTGAGGGTGGTGAGGCACTGGAATGGGTTGCCCAAGGAGTTTGTAATGCTCCATCCCTGGAAGCATTCAAGGCCAGGATGGACAGGGCTTTGAGCAACCTGGTGTAGTGGAAGGTGGCCCTGCCTACAGTGGGGGATTGGAACTAGATGATCTTAAGGCACTTTCCAACCCTAGCTATTCTATGATTCTATAAATGTCAATAGAGCCCATTCACACAGGTCACAAAAAAATGCCCCATCCAGCTTAATCAAAAATAAAATTAAAAATTGGGAATCCACAAGATGCATTGAGTCATGGAGAGAGAATGTAATTCCTCTCGTTCAATAGGGCACGTGTCTGGGGGAAATTTGTGTTGTGGTGCAGTCCGGTTGAATGAATACTGCAGCGAGTATTGAATGTAGCATGCATGCTGCAGTTCCTGAAGTGGGGCTTGGACCCATCTCGCTTTTTTGCAGGCAGAAGTTCTGGTTTTATGACTAAAAACCTCATCTTTTCTGTTTCATGTTTTTCATGAGATTGCCCAGCTGCAGTGGTTGGGAGGGTAGAAGTCAGGTTTTACCTTTCGCTTCCTACCCTCTCAGAGCAAGAAGCTTTTAAGTGGTCACAGCAATGTGTACAGAGATGAGGATTTGAAACTCTGGTAGGAAAAGGTCTGTGTCCTCTACATCCTAGGTATTTAATAAACATTGCAGTTTTTTATTGCTTAAGGAGATGATTATCCTTCCAGGTGTACTTCTGAATAAAGGTGTTCTTAGCTGTTGTTGATGTCTCTTTTCCTGTGAGGTGCTACACATGCTCTGAGCACATCTGCTAAGCCCAGGCTCTTTGGGATACTGAAAAAGCGATACGTAACTAGAGTTTAACTCTTTTGGCCTGTAGGTCTTAAGAAATGCTTGAGGGTAGCTAGAGGGCAAGATGCAAAAATCCACAAAATTAAGTTTATGTTGGGTTGTAAGTGCAGGGATCTTTCTTGAGTCCATGAGGCAAATCACTTCTACCATCTAAGATGGCAAAATTTGATCCAAAGTATTTCTATGGTTTGCATCGTCTTTTTCTATATGATAACCTTTCAATGATTTCCTTTTCTGAGACGGTCATGAGCAGCTAACCCCAATGTCAGTTTTGCTTGTTAAAAGCCAATACCGTTAGTATCTAATTGTACTTACAAAATGCAGATGCTATTGATTCCTGTAAATGAATGAACATATCCGCAGCATTACCCAACTCAGGGATGTAAAAGCTCCAAAGTTGTCCTGCCAAAAAATCTGATGATTGAGAAGAGGCTGATACCATTACAGTGAACTCTGTGGACAAGAGGTTGTGGATAACCATGTCCTTTGAAATGCACAATGTCTAGTGTTCTCTAGTATGATACCAGTGCTTGTACCTAGCACAACTTCTTTAAACAAAAAACAGTTTATGGAGTGTTTAAACAATCAATGTAATTTTAGTTCCTAGTTTCCATTACTAATTTGTTTGCATCAATAAATATGCAATGCAATATATAATGTGGAAGTGTATTTATTGTGTAACAGAATAATAGTGAATAATAGCCTATGACGTACCACTTGGTGTGGGCCATCATATCTTTCATGATTATCCTATGACATAGTCAGTGGACAGTCAGTGAGGAGAAAGCATGTTGTGATGAAGGTAACAAAGTAGGACATAATCTGTGAAGTATTGTCAGCTTCACCACAACTTCCTGTGCGATTTTGTGTAAACTCATTGCTCTTTAATACAAAAGCTGTTATTTATCCTTTTTCTGAAGCTGCAAAAAAACTCAACTCAGCAGATGAGCATTGCTGAAGTGCCTTTGCAATCTCAACAGGAGGATTTCAAAGCAACATTCAGCATAGCAGTTGTACTCTCGGTGCTGTTTGATGAAATGGCAACCTTTTATTAGTTCATAGGAATCAGGCATGCCATTTTCAGGAGACAAGCCTTGCTGGTGGTAGTCTGTTGTGGACAGTTCTTTGGTGATCTCGAGTGGCTGTGCTCCTCACAAGAACTAGGGCTCTCTAGGTTGGCAGTTTCCTTGAGTAGGAACTCAAGTGGCACACTGTTATGTCCGCAGTGTTAATGGCTGACACCAAACAGGCCTTCACTTTGTGCATCACTGATGCTATGCTTCTCCAGATCAGGAGGAGTACACCCTTATGGGGTCCAACAGAGGCAGCGCTAAACAGCTCTTTCCCATCATAAGATGGTCATTACTGTGAACAAGCAGCAGATGTGTCTCTCAAGGGTCATTCCTCCCTTTCCCAGGGCTGCTGGATTTGCTGTACATGTGCAGACCATGTGTGGAAAACATGCACACAAGGTTCACTGTTTCATGGAAGTGTCATGTTTTCTGATGCAAGACACACAGGAACACTTGGACAGACACCTTCTGCACCTGCAGCCTGTTGCTGCAGAGATGTGAGCAACACCAGGAGCAGGCTGCTGCTATCGGAGTGGTTCATAGGGTCTCTCTCAGCTTCCCACAGACTCTTGGGACCAAGGTAGGGAGCGCAGGGCTATGGGCTGTGCTGGCAGCAGTTGCTAAGGGATGAGAGGAAGGCTCTGGACATCTGAAGATTTTGGTGACTGAGTGTACGTGACTACCAGCACTATTGTGAAGTGCTAAAAGCTGAGATATATACCTAGTGCTTTTTGGTTTTTTTTTCATCTTAGTGGGAGGAAATCTGTGCCTGTTGAAGGTAGGAGCTGGCTACAGGAATTATGCAAAATGTATTCTTGAAAGGTACAGGGTACTGTGATACTAAAATGATGAGTTTGGTTAAAAACATCTATAAGGCAGAGCTGATCATGGTAAAGTCTGCTCAGCTATGAAAGCCTTGCCAGAAAAAAACAAACTGAACCCAAACCTAACCAAATCTACATTCTGCACATCAAGAGTGAACTATTACAAAATAAGTGATGCATTATGGTTGAGCCTGTAGAAGATAAGTACACGGATATAACATGACGTTTAGGGCATACGGCATTGCATTTCTGACCTTGAGTCAGATTTATTCTGTGATAATTTGTTATCTTGTCTTCATGCAGTTTATAGGGAAACATTTTTTATGGCGAGTCATTTTATGTAAACTACACTTCACTGTAACTATTTTGTGCTCCTGTTAACGAACTACACGTCGCTTACTATTTTATTACTTGTAGAAATATTTCATAACCTACCAAATATATTGTAATATTTACAGTTTGTATTCTGGTAAGTTTGAGTACAGCTTCCTGACTGATATTATAGAATACAGAAACAAAACCTGGTGTTGGTACAATCTGTTAGAAGAGATGCTCTATCTCCAGTGCACAGGCAACCAAACAGAAAGGAAGACAATGTGTGCACCTGTGGTCATCAGTACTAAAACATACATGTGATGGAGGAAACCAAGCCACACAGGCCTCACTGAATTTATTTCAGTTGGCTGACAGACAAAGGAGAAATCATTTGCTTGTTTCTTCTCATGTCAGCTCTGGAACAGGATAAAAGAAGGAAATACAGCATTTCATCTTGTTTGAAAAGCAGGGAAACGTAAGCTCAGGGAAGGAAGCACCTTAGGGATTTCATTGTACAGGCTCAAGGCAGGATCAGTTGTATCTCCCCCCTTCCTAATGTTCATTTGGGCTTAGCTGTTGGTTTTGTAGGTTTTGTTTGGTTGGGTTTTTTTTAATATGCCACTTCTCAGACAATATTTCCTATACTTTTTCTGTTTTCATCATTAGAAAACTTTTCCTCACCTCTGTCTTCTTGTGGTCTTCTAACTATTTTCATCTCTGTCATGGACATAGCACAAATTATTCATTACTCCTTAATGTGTCTGTGACAGTATCTTGTAAGATACTATGAAAAATCTTACTAAAGTCAAAATATAACCTACTGGTTCTGCCTCTTGCACAATGTTTGCTGGTGTTCATTGAAAAGAATTAGAGCAAACTTTTGCGAATATATTGATACTCTGCAGCTGAGTGATAGTTTTTCTACATAGTTTTGGAAGCTCAAAACATTATAAGTGAAGTATATATTAAAAACCAAGCCAAACCAAACCCTGCTTCTTTCCACTTCTTTCCCAGGACTGCATTTGGAAGTTTGGGCACTATTTCTACATTTCTTGGACAAAGCGGGGTTGGACTCCTGTGCTTACATGAAACCCCACTTCATAAAAGTAGATGTGTGCCTTCTCCCTCCCTCCCCTGTTTCTTTTTTCATGTGTTAAAAAATTTGCTTTTGAGACTTTATTCTCTTTGGGATTGGGGTACTTCCCATTGAGGAAAGCTACATAATAGCAGGTCAAGTTTTCCAAAGTATTTCAATATCCCTTCTCATTCTAATTTGCAGTTCAATCTGACTGATTGCTCTGTGGCAAGGAACAACCTCATTTGTCTGGCAGGTTCCTTCAACTGCTGTGGATCATGCCCGGAGGTGAACTTGCTCCATGTTTACTGCAAGTCAGGTCTCAATGAGCAGCGCATGTAGGAGCTCTGAAGTACAGCTTGTTGCTGTTATTTTAGTCATAAACCCTCTTCTGAGGTCAGAAGAGTGGAATTTAGCAAAGACCGTTGGAGTTATCCAAGAAATACCTTGCCTGGTTCAGCAAGTTAACTTGTCTTCTAACAGTCGCTGTATGTACAGCTTCCCCTGTCCCCTTCAAGAGGATCTTGCTGAGATTTTTCGGGTGCTGTACATTAGCTACAGGCCTTGCCCCTGTCCTGCTTTCTCTGTCATTACTCACATGGTGTTTGCCTGCTTACTTAGGAGGCATCTGTCTCTCCCATCACTGTGGTACCTGCATAACATAATCCTCATTTAAGAGCTGAGGGAGTGAGAAGGACAGTGCAGCCAAGTGATTTGACCTGAGGTGAGAAGTCAGCAACAAAGCATTCATCACAGTACTGCAAAAGTCAAATCATTATTTAATATTACTTCTGAATTCCTTTATAACCAGGAAAACTAACAATGCTTCACTGCACTCACAAATCCGCATGCTGGATGCTTATATGACCAAAGGATGAGCAGACAAGCAAACAGATATCAGTGTTGCAGGATGCCCTGACTGCAAGGTTAGCTCTGTGTGAAGTAAGATTTCTGGCACCAGACAATCACAGGCTGTCTCTCTGCCCTTTCAGAGAGGCATATATTCTGCATTGGAGACTTCACTCTTGTTTTGTGTGGCATATAGTTTCCTAACTTTATTTACCAGCTTACCTGCATTAGAACGCCACCAGTGACAGCATAGTCTAACAGCTCTGTCAGCTTGATGTCCTCAGACAACTGGAGCATGGTATGCCTGAGGGTTGAACCTTTGCTAGGATTGTGCAGGTCTTTCTGGAAACTTCATCAACCTACTGAGATACAGAGTTGCAGAATTCATTCCTATTTTATGCTAGTTGTGGTGCAGCTGGAATCTTACATATTTTGCAGTCTGGAATTCACTATGTAAAGGCTTTGTGACAATGATATAGATCTTATATAGGTTGAAGATGGGCTCACATAAACTTAAAGCAGCTGTTTCTTTAGAGACATCATGTTCCATATCAAAGAAAAGTTAAACAAAGAAACTGGTCAGAACAAATCCTTCCTTTCTCCCCTTGTCTGATGCATTGAAAGAGGAAGCAGCATTCTGAGAACAGTCTTTCTCTCTCCGCTCATGTGATAGCACAATTGGTATTGGCAAACACATGAGGGGAAACGCTTCCTCTTTTTAAATGGGAGAAGCCAACCTTTCAAAAGTTCAGAGGCGATGTTGTTGCACACATTCTTCCTGCTTTAATCTAAAAAGACTCTCTCTTGGAATAGCCAATTTTTTTTTTTTTCTCTCCCCAAGTTTGGCTTACCATTGAACCTGTAATGAAGTGACAAATCACGTAGGACTGCCTTGTCTATGCCGTCATCATAGCCTTTGAACCAGCTGATTGATTTCAGCCACACTTGATAGATAACAACTTCCTGCTCTTCTATGAAAATCAGCCACTAGATAGATGAAAGCAGCTCTACTAAAAGAGTGAAGAAAAGGCAGGGAAATCTCAACCCTTTTCTCTTCTGGCAGCAGCTGGCCAGCCAGCTAGCACATGCATTGCCCACACAATCTATGCTGGGTGTTTTTTATCTTCTGAAAGCCCAAAAAACCCCGCCAAAACCATTTCACAGAATAAGCTGCTACTGTGGTAGAAAGGGTAGGGAACACATGGGGAACTGAATTTTTACAGTGGAGAGGCATACGAGACACAGGACACTGACTGTCATTGGGATCAGCACTCACAGAGCAGCTTTGGTGAGATGTGAAGAAAAGCACCAATGAAACAAATGCCTTAAAGAAAAACTGAAATGAAAATCCTTCCTCATTTCTTCCATATTCACATTGAACCAGAACATGATGAAAATCAACAAGTGCAGGAAAGACGTGGCAGATTACAAAGTGGTACAAAGAATCAATGCCCGTTTTCCTCATGTTTTCTCCTGCAATGGTTCCCTAGAAGCGTGTATGCATGCATTAATTAACAAACCTCAAAAACATAGCCCAAAATGTTGCAATGCCAGCATAACATTATGCTTTACGCACAACTTCACTCGTTACTTCTGCTGACAGAATTTTCTTTTTCACTCTCTTTTGATGTAATAATACATGCAAAAAGACTCGCATTACAAAATCAGTACACAGTGCAAGGGTCACTCTCTATGCCCCAGCGTTAGCATGGATGTAACCTTCACATGCCAATGAGATTATATTATGTAATATGGGAGTCACATCAACCTGGATTTTCTTTTGTTGTTAACTAAGACGATGTTTCAGTAGATAAATAAAATGAACCTACCTTTTAACTCCCACTTTAACTGCAGTTTTCCACTGGACTCTGGATTAGGCAGCCAAAATTTAATTAGCCATAGAAACTGGGGGGCAGAGGCTCAGGGGAGTGAGCAATACCTGAACGTGGAGGGCTATCAAACAGTCCACCGGTACACTCCCATTATCCTTAGCAATGAGATATGAGTAACATCTCATTGCACTGCAAAACACACCGAGTATTTGTGTTTGGTTTATTCATACCAAGTTCATACCATCAGAATAACTTTACAACTTTGCATCAGGTAAAAAAAAACATTTAATAAAAAGATCACACCACTAGGGATATCCTTAAGAAATACACACAATTTCTCATTACAAAATATGAGTCAGATCAGGTCTTACTTTACAAAATAGGACTTTCTTTTACAAACCTTATATAAAGTTTCAGTTTTATTAACTTTTGCAATAAATAGTTCATCAAAGTTAAATTAACTAGTATTATATGTAATTGCTCATTAAATTAATGTCATGACAGTGTCAGGTATTGCTATAAATTAAAAGTGAACCACTACAAACAGTAGCAAAAATTATGTATTGCTTAATTCCTCATTTATAGTCAAGTTTCTTGTACTCAAAAAAATAATATGTCTGTCAAAAGTCTGTGTACACATCTTCATGTATTCATTTTTACTGTCTTAAGACTGTAGCAAGTAGAAAATAAGTTCAACAGACCATTTGATTTTCCTTTGGTCTGAGTGAAGTGTAAGGAGTGCATTCAGGCCTTTTCTGAAACTGATACTATTCTTGAATCAGAATTTTCTTGTTCAGAGTCCTGAAGGTGCTCTGGTGTCTTGCTGGCTTCATCTCCACTCTCATCACTGTGACTTTTGGATTCTTCCGAAATGACAGTTAGCTTGTCATAAAAGAGATGCTCTTCTTGTGGGACTGGAGAAAAAATCTGTGAACCACTGGAAGGCTTGTTCAAGAACTGTGAAGGGAAGAGGAAATGAGAGTTAGATGGCACCAGCCATACCATCCTGTTTGCTTAGAAATATGTTTTACATTATTTTCCACACATCAATTGCTTTTCTCAATCCTAAGAAGTCTCAGAGCGGCAACAACCTAATAACCTGCCTGCTCACTTTAACACCCTGTGCAAGGCTTGGAAGCAAGGCAGAAGTGCCTTTATTTGCAAGAAAATATCCTAGGTGTTAGTGATTTCTTTGGAATATAAACTTTCTTAAAAAAAAACCAAAAACCAACAACCAGAAAACAAAAACCTAGGTTTTGTTTGGAAACAAAAAACCTAAAAATGGTGACTTGGCTGTGGGTGAAGTAGCTCGCAGAGAGATTTGCCAAACAGCTTCAAGAGATGTGAACTGCTCCTGCCATCTCAGAGCGCTGTCTGTGCAGACATCAAATGGTGATGCTTTAAATGCCAACATAAACCATAACCATTTTGTTAAGTAAAGGTGAGGGACGGAAATTTGCAAGGCTATGCAGTTCAGTGAGAAAAATGACTTAATTTTAGTACCAGAAAATCACAGCTTCCTCCCACTCCCTGTTCTACTGGTAAGATGGAACCTCAAGAATCAACATGGACTTCACAGGATGTCATGACTGTCAACATTTTGAATGTCAACAAGAACTGCACACCTACTCAACATCATAATAACATGTTAACCACTTGCTTTGTCAGCTGAAATGGCAATTCATTTTAATGCTAGTGGCTGGAAGAGTACAACTGTGTTGTGTTCTTGTAACCTGACTCCTGTCTATTACTTTAGCATATTTTACATAAGAAACAATATGCTCTATCAGGAGCCCCGCTCATTTTATTTACAAAATACACTCCCCCCCAATAATAACCTAATGTTACTATTAGACCTTCTTCTAGCAAACTGTGATTTGAAATGTTCTGTCAGTAACCTGCAATCTCAAATGTTCATGTAGTGAAACCACTGCCTTTGATAAATGTAATTTTAGGTAGGCACGACTGACTTTGATTACTTTGATTTACCTTTATAACCCACCAGCACAAAATGAAAATTCTCCCTTTCTTGTGAGAAGCTTGTGAGCAAAATGAAATCTGACCACATCCTGTATTGATAAGAGCAATGCTACCTTCCCAGCAGCTCTGCTCCGGGTTCTCACTGTGCACTGAGCATGCGCTCAAATTAAAGTGCAAGACAATTGCTAAGTTTGCTGCAAAGCCTTCATCTGATGAACTCTAAGTCAAAATGAAGGATGAGAGAAACTGCAGGAAATGGGTGGCATGGTTTAGTGTGAGGTATCCCTGCCCATGGCAGGGGGGTCGGAACTTGATGATCTTAAGGTCCTTTCCAACCCTAACTATTCTATGATTCTATGAAATTCAGCACAGCTGCTAACTTTGGCAATCTTTATAGCCTTGTTTCTTGGAGGAGATTCTGATACAATCTTTTTATGTTGCTATATGGGTAACAAGGGCCAGTGGTATTCCCCAGTAGTAGTGGCTAACATTCACTGAACCTTCAGACTTCACTACATTCTTCACTGAAGTTAAAACTCATTACTGTGTTTGTGAAAGAACCTCCTTTCAAATGTGCAAGTTTAAATCTAAAATGAGATGGGGAGACATATTTTAATTGTTTACAACCTAAAAAGAGGAAGAGAAGGTTAACACCTGTTATTCTCTCATTCTAAAATGAAAGAAAACATCTTGTTTCTAAGCCGTAGAAAGCTTCACACTGAAAATTATGCAGTTACTTTAGGAATAAAAGCCTATGCCAGGTTTTTAAATTATTCAGCTTTAAACATTTTGGACCATTCTGTGCAGAACAGTTCAAGATGACAGTATTTTAGAGTTTATTACACATCTGTATACTTCAAAAAGAAGTCTAATATCACTGCTTCTTACTTACGCCTATGCAGCTCCACAGAACTTGGAATATAACATACATACAAAATGCATGACCTTATAACACCAGAAATTGAATATTAAATGAACTAACTTCCACTACCTTTCTCACACAGAAAAGTACTTTCCTTTGTCAGCTTTTCCTAAAGTTCGCAACTTCATCATTTACACTCACTTGAATGGCTTTTGTGTTTGGCAGAAGAGTGAGTTTCACTGTACACAATTGTATGACAACAGATAACCAGCATTGCTCCTTCTAGTCTAACCCCCCCTCAGAACAGCCTGCACTTTACAGATGGCTCACAATCAGGTGCAAATGAAAAAAGGTGAAATAAAAGAAGCTCTAAAGGTTTTGGCCCAGAAAGCTTTTGAAAAGCAACCGCTTCTGCCAATTTTAACTGTGTTAAGTAGAAAACAAACCTCTTTCAAGTGTTGTGGGAAAACATACGAAGGACAGAAAACATGTTTGGTGAGTCGATACAGATACAAAACCAAAAAGAAACAGACAGGAACAGATATCACAACGACCAACATTGATCCTATAAGAATGGTCACAACTATCCACACAGGAGTTACACCTGCAAGACAAGATAAAAACAAACCAAACCAAACTTAAACCTGTGATTATGAATTTCTGGATACATTCTTTTCAATTTATCACTTTCTCCATGGAATTAAAACCAAATCAAACCAAAAGCCACCCAACCAAAAACAAACAAACCCCAAAACCCCCAAAACCCCCAAACCCCAAACCAAACTATCACAAAATCGTAACTGCAAAAATAAGTCTTCATTTTCAGATGTAAAATACTTATTAGCTCTTAATTTTTTAGCCTGAATAGGTTGAGTTGAAGTTCTCAATACAACCTTACAAGCCAGCATATGTAGACGTTTATGGTTATATGTACAGGTGATTCTACATGCAAGACTAGGCAAATGATTAAAGGAAAAAAGACCAACAGAAGCATCCATAAGGCAGTATCATGTAAAAATGGCAGCAAAGTAAAGACAGCAAGGGAAAAATGACCATAAAATTCAAAACTGCTTAGCCATTAAAAAGAAAGGCATGCTTGGAGATTTCACAACAGGCAATGCGAACTGAGATGTGTCCATACATCCCTGTATAAATGTTTTAAACCAACCTATGCATGCTAAGCACTGGTCTAGCCATGAACTAACAAGGAACACCACCACCAAAACCAACATGCAATTCAACCGAGTGCATGCAGGTAGTATTCATGTAGGAGAAATATGTGAGGAAATATTTGACAAGAAAAAAAACTTAGAGAAACAGCTTAGCCCAGCAGCTCCCACAGAGACCTTCCTTCTTGTGGTGCCTCTGCCTCTGATTTTTCATGTTATTTGAGGGCGTGTTAGCTGAAATACTGACTTTTTCAGAGACATAATGTGTATCATCCTTTCTTTAACTGGGGACATGAAGTTCCCTGCTAAGGCAACAGGGTCAGACCACATGGTGGTTAATTGCTGGACTCCACAGACAGCAGCCTAGGCGGCATGGTCAGGAAGTGCTTTTCTTATGTAACTACCTTCAAAATGAGAATGGAAGTGCCTGAACAAAATACTTGTTCATATTACTGATTAGGACATGCTGTGTTTCACAGAGAAAGAGCAGCATGGCCTACCCTAGTGACAAGCACGGGCATTGTCACCACAGGTGAAGCAGACTGCAAAACAGGGGCCAGTTCCTTTCTCAGTGACAAATACACAACAAAGACTTTCATAGGATAATAAATACAGCTGAAGGTAAAAGAAATTCAGACAGAGAATGATTAGTGAAGAGTACGTGCTCCATTTAACTCTGATTTGCAGTGTATGAGGAACATAGAGGGCTCTGGAGTGAAGTAAAGCATCATGCTATTGGTGCCATATTGCTTGTAGTTTTCACTTTGTTTCCAATTCCTGCACTCCAAAGGTACATAGCTATTAACCACCAAACAATACTGAAGTAACAAACACATCCATTTTTGGAAGTTTTACACGTTACACTGACAGCCATTCTGAATGGCTTTACACATTTCCCAGCTCCCTACAGTGTGTGTCCTTCCGCGCTGCACCCGGTATTACCGTTGTGGGTTGTCTGCTCACACAGCACTTCACTCAGTTCCCCTGTTTTGTTCCACTCGGGGATAACTGCTTGCACTTGAATACAATATATCGTCCATGGCTCCAACTGAGAGAGGATTTCAGTGTTATGTTTAGTGTCTACATGAGCTACCTAATAACAGAGAATACAAAAGAAAAGAAAAGCATGAGTCCAATCATTTGGCTAAGTAATTACAATTACATTTAGAATCACAGAATGGTTTGGGTTGGAAGGTCTGGGTTTAAGATCATCCAGTCTCAACCCCCTGCTGCAGGCACGGACACCTTTCACGAGACCAGGTTGCTCCAAGCCCCATCCAACCTGGCCTTGAGCACTGGCCAGGGATGGGGCAGCCACAATTTCTCTGGGCAACTTTTGCCACCTGCATAGTAAAGAATTTCTTACTAATGTCTAATCTAAGTCTCACGTTTTTCAGTTTAAAGGCATCCCCCCTCATCCTATCACTACTGCCCTTGTAAAAGTTCCCGCTCCAGATTTCTTTTAGGCATCTTTTAGTTACTAGAAGGCTGCTACAATGTTTCCCCAGAGCCTTCTCTTCTCCAGGCTGAGCAAGCCCATCTCTCTCCACTTGTCTTCATAGGAGAGGTGCTCCAGCCCTCTGATCATCCTTTAGTAGGACATCTCATAATTTAGTAGGACAAATCCCAGCAGTTGTAGCTGCAATGTGAACAAGGCTTTTAAAGGCAGAATGAGATTCCCTGCCTGTGGCAAATAGCTGATAACTCGGGTATCAGCTGTGGTCGCTCTGAGACCATTCACATCACTGACTTTCTGGCTGCTATTAGGTGACTGCCAGCAGACGCAACTTGCTGTTTAGAGGCATGACTGGTTATGTCCATGTAACTATAGGGTTCCTGAAGAGTATAGGAGCCCCTAGAGGATGCCCATTATGCAGTAACAGGTTTTTTCTCAGGGATGAGGAGACTGTATAGCTAAGTTTTAACGTTATAAGCAAGGATTTATTTGAAAAACAACCTATGAAGTTACATAGTCTATGCCTTCTGCTTCTTTGATTCCTATGAAATTTTCCAGACTTCTGCTCTGAGGTGTTATAAGCACAGATTATACCTGAACCTCTCACTTTCTCTGTATATTTGCCTAAGTTTGCATCGCATATGCAGAAATACCTTCACTTCTTGTAGTCTGTTTTTTGGAAATGATGATCCCTCATTTTCTGCAATTGAATGCCTAAGAATTTTTCCAGGATAACAAATACAAATCACAATTATATGTGGTGGAGTCCTATTATATGAAAATTGTGCTGATGTACAAAGCACTAATTACACTGTGACTGGTATCTTCCAGTAAAGGCCTTCCTTTTTTTCCTGTAATAGAACCTATGACCTATAATTAATATATTATTTATGATCTTTCTTCATGCATTCTGTGGGAAGCTGAGTAACACATCTGTCTGTGGAAGAGGCTGTCCATGAGAGGAAGGAAGCAAATTACAACTTCACGAAATTGAAGAGGTAAAGGTGACCACAATTAATATAAAGCCTCATCCATGGTGGTATTCAAAGCCCAAAGTCCCACAAAGAACACAAACACTTGAATGACATGGGATTTGAATCTAAGTCAGTTTGTAGCCATGATCACAGACACTGCTGACATTACAGCTTCTAAATTTACCCTTGCTTGTATGTATGAAATTCAGGGATTTGATGAGGAAGCCTGCATCGCAGATAAACACATCACTGAACTGAGAGAACAAAGTCTCATAATGTAGCAGTTAGTTCCAATTATGGAAAGAGCAAATGATATCAATGCTACTGTTTAACTACACAGCTGTCATTTGCTCCGAATAGCAGTTGTAGTGACTAGACTTTCTTACACTAGTTAGCAGACATACATTTTTATTTCAGCACTGTTAGCTTTCAGAACTTCATCAGTATGGTACTTTACCAAGAAAAGCAAGAATCAAAATCATGGAGTCACAATACCCTGGAAGCAGTGCTGCCTTTCTTCCAGTACAGTATCCTGTAATTCCATGAACCGTAATACTGCTTCAGAGGCCAGTTGTCACGCTCAGCAAAAGGGCCTATGAAATCCACATGCAGGGACCCAGACTCTGACTTCACTTTTACGTCAGGTGGCCCAATGATGGCTATACATGAGAACAGTGGAAGAGAAGAACAGAATTCAGTTTCATGTTGTTTTCAGTTTGACATTTTTATACAACCCATCACAAGTCATGCTTTAAAGAATTTTATCAGAAAAAAGTTATTTCCTATCATGGATCAGGCATAAATAAATCCTTTCCTTACAGAGTTGCTTTTGAAAGGGATTTATTTTTGCCGTTAGGTAACAGATGCTGCTGCAGACTACATTTCCCATAGAATAAATTAACTCAGTTCCCTTTTGCCAGCTGTGTGACTCCTGGGAGCGGAAGGACTATTTCTATAGGTTATTACTCACTTCTCCTTCTCGGCCAAGCTGCTGCAACATCTGTCTTTTCTGAGGAGACCTCTAGTGAAGTGTTTTAATGTTTCTTTCATTGTGATAATTTTGAAAAACTGAAGCATTTGAATTATTTCTACATTTCTTGTACTCCTTAGACTGAATATTATATTCTTGCCATTTGTAAATGGCTTTTCCTCATTGTGTTTTTGTGCAGCTTACCTAAATTATTTCATGACTTCACCTTAGTCAGAAATGAGCTCTCCATTAAAGTCTCCTATAATTCCAGCAAAAATCTCTACCCTGGCTGCCTCACCAAAGTTCTGCCTGGCTGCAGTCACGCTATAAAGGGTCTAAGAAAGGAAAAGCTCAAAAAAGATGATTTTGCATTCCTCTAGAAATATGTGCTTCTATAATTAAAAATAATAATAAAAAGCCTCAGACAAATTGCTCGCTGAACCATACATTCATGCAAGGTCATGAATGGTTTGTTGAGCTTACAAAAAACAATGTGAGGAGGGTCTTGGCTGCTCTGCTTTTCTTAGGCTATTCCTATAATACAGAGTGGAATTTAGTAAAAAAGCACTAATAGGAATAGTAACACAGAAAGGAATATCAGACATTTTGATCATGATACCCTGCTCAGATCAGTTATGGCGACCTTAAAAATACTCATGTCCTCCTCAGAGATTTGGCCAGTACTCCCAGGTAGTTCTTTTCAAGTAGTTTGATACCTAGAGTTTCCCATTCAGGAATAAGCTGCCTTTCCAAAGCCAAGCCTGCTCTGAAGGCCACACACTATTTCAATTATATGTCAAACTACAACTCTGTTAATGATTTACAAGTTTGCTCTCTACTCTGAAAATCTACCCATGCTTTTTGTATTACATCTTCTTTTGGCTGTAGCTCATAATTGCAATGTTGATGTTACTATGTTTCAGTGCTTCCCTTATAGGCAGATTAAATTATATCAACATTACACTTTTGGAGAGGTAATAAAAGCATCTTGAAAAACAAAGCTGTAAACTGTAAAATTGCATTCTGAAATCCAAGGAATAGAATGATGAAATTTCAGCAAATGGAGGCAGAACAGGAGAAGAAAAAGAAATGTAAAGTTTTTTCTCAAATATGAGATGCAACAGAAACTTCATGAATCGTTTTGTATTAACAGCTGTGAGGGGAAAAAGTCTTGGGTAACATTAACTATGTAATCTAAAATAATTTGATTTTTGCTTATGAGTGGAGTAAGAACGTACAAAACAAAATACTTGGTAAAAACCACCCTCTCATTCCCAAGCTCAGGTGACAGCAACATGATTAACATCTCTGTTGTACACTCTAATGCAAATCAATGCCTAAATCACTTCTCATGAAAGACTGTCAAGCTTCTCTAAAAGAATGGCAGTATTGTGTAATGAAGATTTCTTACCTAAAAATTAACCTTTCTCTGTGACATTTTCAACAAAAAAAAAAAGAAAGAAAGCTTTTTGCCTGGCATAGCAATGAAAAGGAAAGTAATTGAACTTACTGAGATATACAGGACATCTGAATCCTTGGCTCAGATTGAATCTCCCTGATTGAAAAATATATATGACCCTTGTTTTGATATGACCCTCATTTTAAGGGAAAGATACATTTTTGAAAACCTCCTCAAAAGAGGTTTCAAGTACCAATACTATCATCTAGCTATAATAGTGAATCTACAGTGCCTTCTGACAGCAACTTCTGCCTTCAAAAACTGGAAATGTTACAACTAAGGTTCTATTGTTCAATGTAATTACATTTAAAAATTATCTGCATGCTATAGGTTTTCTTATGGAGTCAAACTGTAAAGGTGCATTAATAGCATGCAATATGGTGGATTTTCCTGAAGATTACAAAAATGCTTACTGTCATCCATTGGCTTAAATCTGATGGCCGTCCAGTCTGAATGGTCATTTTCTGACTCCACTCGGACCTGTAAAATGTAGTCTCCATATGCAGACAGAGAAGAGACATCACACTCTGTGAGTCTCAAATTTGTGCTCACATTTTCGTATGTGTCTCCAGGTAAATTGATGCTGTATGGAAGAGAAACAACATGGCTATGATGTTTAAATTATACATGAATAAATATATTTCCTCTCAGTTAACTGGAAAAGTGCAATATCTGTTTGTTAATACAACCAGCTATGACTCATGAACAAGAAAAATTGGATGCAGTGTATAAGAAACACCATTACTAGTGTGTACACACACACTGAGCATTTTATATGCATCTATTAAGCCATGATAAAGTTAGAGATTAAAATTATGATACAGTAAATAGGTGCCCTTTTATTAACATTTACTGCCTTGATTCAACAGGCAGTAGTTATCAGACAAGTCTGCAAATATCAAGACAGCATCGCTATGCATGGCTTTGCTGTCTAACTTGGACTTTGTTCAGAACTGTCTTTAAGATATGCGTATAAGGAAAAGCCAGAGAAAATTTTAGATACACATATAAGGAACAGCCTGAGAAAACAGAGCCTGAAAACTCACTGCAACCATTCAGTACATGATACTATTTCTGGTTTGCATCAAAAGCCCATGCAGGAATGTAGTGATCAAAAGGTATTTGCTACCAGAACCCAGGAAAATCTTCTTTCAACTAAGACGAGGGATTTCCCTCAAAGGCGCCTGCCTGTGGGCACCACCATCTCCACTTTACACCCTGTCTTGGCTTTTACCTTGTCTTGGCCAAAGAATTCAACTTTTGGCAGGAACACAAGACTTCTGCCCCACCACACAGTTTTGTTGCCAAGCACAGAGGCAGGTATGGAGCCCACCACTGCGCTGGGGAAGTGGCCGCCTTCCCTGGTTCAGCTGCACAGACCACTTTTCCCAACATGAAGGACCAACTCGGAACGACACAGTGCCAAAACCAAATCAAAGCTAAATCAACCTACCAAAAATGACAAAAGGAGACCTCAGAAAATGTGTCCCAAGTTTAAGGCACTGAATGGATGAGCCACCAGCCTGCAGTTCATCAGGCATTTCCACTAAGGGCACAGGCAAGCTGACTGCATTGGTGGCAGAGAACAAACTGCTACTGGAGTGAAAGATCAGATAAAGTCCTAAACACTCTGCAGGACTAAGTCTTTGAATCACAGGTAACAGCTTCATGATAGAGAAAAAAACCACACAGACAGCTAATAACAGCCAACATTAAAATGTGTTTCTGGTTCCAAAAGAAGTATGTGCAAAGCTGCCTTTAATGCTGGGTTTGCAGTAGGAAGATCGAAGTTTACCGCAGGAGAAACTATGTGAATATCTGTCAAGGTTTAGAAGAACTGTCTTGTTTTGAGTAGATGACTGAATGAACAAAGGCCAAAGGGCCCCGGAGGAGGGTAACATCCTCAGACCAATGACATATATCTCATTAACAAGAAGCTGGCAATGGAACTAACTTTCGAGGCATTACTGAAGGGAACTGCCTCCATTATAATACTAAAAATCACACCCCCTTGAGATAAGAGACCCTTGCCCACAGAGACACTTACTCACAAACGTGTAGTGAAAGAAATCCATACTGTGCCTTTAAACAGAGAATCTAAGAGCCAATCATTGTAGATTACTGACCAACCACTAACTGGGAGTGTACTACCTTGGAACTTCTGCGTGTAGATGTAATGAAGAAGCCTCATCCGGTGTGCAACATGTACTGTAAAACTGTAAAACATGGACTAAAGAAAGCAAGCTTTCCACACTTACCTCTTAGATTGGACAGTGTAACTTATATTCCCTTTGTAAAACCTAGGTGCATCCCATTGTAAAATGCTACGAAGATTAACTGAAGTAATCCTTGTGTTTTGGGGTTTTGGCACTATTCCAGATACTGTGGGAGCAATCAAAACCAAACAAACATTTTAGTATATGTTCCTCTGCCCACTTCTCAATCATCCATAACTTAAATACAGCCTCCTTTCTCTACCTTGCCTCAGAAACATTTTTAAAACAGACTTTAATGTGATTAATTTTAATCCTGATGCATACCCTTCCTTGTGACCTTGTGCAACAAAAACAAGTTAGCCAGCATCAGTGATTTCCAGTAAGTGCAGTCTTCATGATATCATCATTTATTATGCATGACTAACTTGTTACTGCCTAAGACTCAGGGCCCATAAAGCTACATGGATGAACTCTCACTGAGATTGTCAAAATCAGTTGTTTTCACTAGCACTACGGAAATAACACAGCTGTGGGGATTGATGTGCTGGTTTTGGTTTTATTTTAAGAGGAACATGAACAGTCTTTATACATAGACCTGTGTATAACGCTGAAATAATTCAAAAAATCCACCCACCATAAGCATGTTTGTGTCATCACTGCATGGAGTAGCATTGCTGTTATACATGCTGTTATTCAACCACCCTTTTGAAAAAGAGATAAACACAAACTACCTTGGAAGGCAAGAGAGCCATTAAATACACTATATAATATTAACTGGCACTCTTCACAAGTGATGGAGACACAATTATCTTGCTTTATTGAAACCGAATAAAGGAAATTCTTAAGTTAGTATTGATGAACAGACCATTACTGTTATGATTTAATTATTTTAAAATAGTTGTTGATATTGAAACTAAAATCAAAAAGATTTTGGCCCATACTTGCAAAGGCAAAGAAATCCCCATCAGGTCAGACTAGTGCTTAAATGTCATAGGAATAAAACCTAATGACACACGTTCTAAGATAAATAACTTGTATGTCTACAGTTGATGCATAAATACATGAAATTAATGTGTTGCTTACCCACCTTTAGCAGATGAGTTTTGAATCGAGACCCTGCTTAAATAAAAACTGTTTCACAGACTCAATTCCTGCAATGTTTGCCTTGCACCCAACAAATCAACTTGAATGCACTTCGAGCTATAAAAGCAGAAGTTGCTTGCTTCCCTGCACCCCAGCCTTCTCGAGAGATGCCATCCCTGTACAAACCTCGGGCACTCTCCTTCAGAGACCTCTGCCCAAGCACACACTGTGCCCCTCTGCAGGCACCTCCAGCCTCCTGCTCCCACATGGTCTCCTCCCTGCAAAACCCCAGGTGTGCAGGACGCTAAGGAAGATGGGCACAGGTAACAATGGACTGCAAAGCCCCAGTGTAAACAACACAGCTGAAGAAAATCTGGCTAGTACAAGGCCTCTGACTTTTCCTGTCCCCTACGATGTGGTCCTTGCTATGAAGAACCCTTGCTAGGGCGCTGCCTACATTTTGAGGAAGCTCCCTCTGAAGCAGGGATGGTAAAACCGCAGTAAGCGTGATGCCTTTGAAGGTTCGCTTCCCAGATGGTGTTTCCTACTTGAAAAGCCTCCAGCTCAATTTTTTACTGGGCACTGTGGACCCAAATTGATGAGAATATACTTCTGTGGGTTTACACTTTGCAAGCGGGAGGTTTGTACACTGCTCATAGCACACCCCAGCCTCGGCCACGGCCTGCCTGGGGAACGCGTGGCCGTCCCCGCTGAGGGTGTGCTGCCGGAGCAGCCCAGCCCGTGCCGGCCGCTCAGGCACCGCTGCTCCCGTGCCAAGCTCGTTGTGCCTGCAGGAGCGTGGTTTCTCTTCCACACACGCTTTTCACCATCGGGACTTGCACCAGCGTCCAAAGGGCAATTTCAGTTTCCCTGCACAGATACAGCCTCTGAGGTGGCGGAAAGCCCGCCGGCAGCGGCACCTGGGAGCGCCCTCCGCGCAGCAGCCGGTCCTGGGAATCTCGAGGCAGCGTGGCCCCGGAGGACAAAGCCGGCCGCTTCTAGAGACCCCCGCCGCCGCCTCCCCCCTTGCTCCCCGCGGGAGGACGGTCGCTCTTCCGAGGGGGCCGCAACCCACCGCTGTCCCCCGCCGGCCCTGGGGCGGACTCACCGCAGAGTAGGAGGCAGCTACAGAGGGCAGACCGAAGGGCTGCCATGGCGGCTCCCGGCGCGGGGTTCCCTCAGCAGTGGGGCTGCCAGCGAAGTCGCGCCATGGCACCGGGTGCTGCCCTCTCCGACGAGGAGCGGGGCTGCCCCGAAACCCTTCCGTCTTCCCGTTGCGGGGCGGGGCGGTGTACGGCTCCGCTGCCGCCCCCAGCTGCGGGGCTCAACCCTCCGCCAGCGGGGCTGATTGCCTGCGAGCAACAGGGGACACGGCCTGCACCGCGGCCGGCTCACCCCGCCGGTTCCAAAGCCTTTCCAGCAGAAGCACATCCAGAGCCTGAAACCTTCGCAGGGGGCTCATGGGCACTGTGCTTTAAGTATCTCGGCGGTGCTGGCTGCTCGGATACTTAGGATCGCTAAAGAGCATCTTCAGGCGGGCAGCTGGGAAGGCAGGAGGTGGGAGCTCGTTACAAAGTGGATAGATAGATAGATAGATAGATAGATAGATAGATAGATAGATAGATAGATAACACATAAACAGAGGCCAGACGATGAACAGCGTCAAACCTGACCTTGAGTGAAATTTCCTCTGCAGTCAGTACAAATGTTACCTGAGGAAAGGTTTGCCTTTTATCTTCAGGATCTGGCCCGCACCAGATGCCAACACTAGTACTTCTACCAGACCATTTAGCATCCCTGATCAAAATCAGCATAAACTTGGGGGAAGGAGGGAGCATTTTTATTAATCACAGAGAAAAACCAGTTGTTTCTCAACTGATTAATGTCACCGACTGAAAATGCCAATTCTTTGTGAGGGTTTAATAGACTTTTTTTCCAGCCCATCTGTCACCTCCTGTCGTTAAATGGGGCTGCACACAGCCCCCCAGCCTTCATTTACATGTGAACAATTTTCCTGGAACCAACCACCCTGGAGATATGCACACCAGCTGCACCCAGTGGCGCAGGGTGAGTGTGAGTGCAGGTTTCACCTACTAATGCTACAGATGTGTAAATCTGCAAATAATTAGCTACTCAAGATTCAAGATACCAGGTACTTACACTTACTTTGTTCTGAACTAAGCAGGTACAGCAGCAGCGTACATTCCAGCACCTCTGAAACTGGTCTCAGCTATCCTGACCAAATGAATATCTGACTGCTGTGGTTACTAAACTGGGGCAAGAAAACTAGTACCTAAACAGAGCAACACCAGGTGAGAAAAGCTGAGAATTTTTTTTTTCCAGCGGTGTGATACCTAGAAGTATAAGGAGTACATGCTCATAATCATGTAGCATGTAAGAGCCACAGTAAAAATTTTGACAGGGATACGAAAAAACTTTCATTTTATGAAGCACAAATGTTTAACAGTTACTACAGTGTACAGTTTGACATCATAAAAACATTTTAAAAGTGTAGTATTCAATAATTGCACATAATTATACTAAAAAATATATAAAACGGTATATTTAATGCCTTCATTCACAGTAAGAACTCTTCTGTAAGATTGAATATTCTTGTTTCTGTCCCCATTATTTCACTTGACCAGGTTTCTCTGCACAAATGTAGAACTCAGTTCTCTGACTCAAACACAGCAATCCATCCAGCAAAACAGGTTCCAGAGTAATCCAGCAATGGCGCTAAAGAAAAAAGAAAAAAAAAAAAAAAAAAAAGAAAAAAGTGGTCTGGTTGAGGAACCATCCACTCACAGGCCCTATACTGCAAACTAACTTTGCACTTGAGTTACAGGAAATACTTGCTTTGGAACAGCTAAAAGGTATAGTTCACTATCCAACTGCAAAATGAAGTAACTACTCTGCTGCATCTGAACACTCATTTTTGTTTCTCTGTGGCTCATCCAACCTGAACCATACCTGGTGAGATTAGAAAAATAGCTGTTAAATATGCATGTTGTGTATTTTCAATGTTCAGGCATATACTCACAGAATGTTAAAAAAAACAAACAGAAGATCTGTATGTTGAGTCCATAAATCAATGTTGTTGGGCAACATTGATTTGTATGTCATAAAACAATAGTGGTTTTTATTTGTTCATCTTCTTATGTATTCATTTTTTTGGTACATATCTGAATCTGATGAGTCACTTTCATCATCAGAAGAGTTTTGCCACTCGTGAGAGTTGTTATGACAGTGGGGTTTCTGCACACTTTCTGCATCATCCAGGAGTTTTGCTTCAACAGCGTGAGTACATTGCCAATCAGCTGCATCTTCTTGGGAAGAAAGAAGAGCTGCAGAACTATCCACATTCTCTTCAGAGGTTCCCAACAGCACAGTTTTTAAGTTAATGGTAAAACAAGCATTGTCCTTTGGCCTCGAAGAATAGTTACAATTTGCCTCAGAGAAAGGATTAAGTAACTCACAACTTGTGTTTTTGTCTTCTTCAATGTCCGACTCCTGCTCTTCAACATCTTCTGGGTCAGTGTTTGGATTTTCACTTGCCTGGCTGCTGCTGTCATCACACATGCTACTTGCAGAGTACTGCATGGATGCATCTGGTACGTCAGAGGAATGAGGTACTCTGTTTAAGATATCACGCCTTGTATAGTCATGATTACTTATGACATCACTGTCATCACTCTCGTCTTCATCACTGACACCACCACTGGAATTATTTGCCCTTTTTTTAGCCTCTTTGTAAATGATCTCTATAGAGGCTATTTTTTCAGATTCAAATGTCCAAGGCGGATAGGCTAACCTCCTGATGAATACCTAAAAGAACAAAATGAATTAAAAAAAAAAAAAAAATCAGTCAAATTTGCACATATGCAAAATATGAAAAAACCCTCAGTCACAAGGTTGTCAAACAAAGTATTCCCTCTGTGCCACATTTTTGGCTTTTTCTGCAGACTTCAGGGCTCAGCTTTACTCTGCACCTCCCTGGATTGTGAATTGCTGAAAGTTCAAAGCACTGGGGGGAAATGCCAACAATAATTAAAAAAATAACCTTAGACATTACTTGGCAAAGCCATGTTCAGCAATTTTACAGATGTGAAGGTAAGGACACAGCAAAGGACAGAAACACAAGGAGTTGATACCAATCTGCTTGTATGTGCACCTCCTTCCCCCAGTCCCCAGCTCAAGTATGTTTTCTTCCAGAGCCACACTGTTTCTTTTCCTTTGCTTTTTATTTTCATTCAACTCCACTATTTGGGTAGATCCCAACAGCCTGGTCCAGGAGTTAGTTTCTAAGGTGCTATGCCTAGCTCTAGGTTCCAGCAGCGGTAACTTGCATATGAATACCCTTTTTTTTTTTTCTGCTAAGTGTATCACTAATCAGGCATTCACTATCACCTGTGTGTATCAGAATACAGTAAAAAAACATTACTGAGATGGAAGAAAGAAGACAGGTGACCCAGAGAAATGATCCTGAACTTGCTAGTAACAATTCTGGAAGTAACAAGTAGGATACTTTTCTGGCAGGGACATATTTGCACATAACTGCATTCCAATCTACAGTATGAGACACCTGTGAAACTGAAAGGTTGGGGACTTGCAGAGTATATCTACTTTCAGTAGATTTTTCTAGTAGCATTTTTCCTTTGACTGAGAAGCTACTGGTGATGTTACTCAGTAGACTCAGGTTTCTGTACACATCTGTCCTGCACTGTGGTGACCAGAAACAGATATACTTCAGGTGTGGCCTGACAAATGCTGAGTAGGGTGGAATGATCTCTATCTGTTAGTAACTTGCCACAGAAGTAGCAAGAAATGGTTTTGCAAAAGCCTGAATATTTGTTCCATAGCCTACAGGCTGCTGAATCTTGTCTGTTCTATCTTTGACACATGTAAACTGCAAATTAAACCATATGTACTTATATAACTCATACCTAATGAACAGGACTAGAAATTTCAGAGGGTAAAACTTCCTCCTCCCAACCAGGAAGGTTAAAAATGAGAATTAATACATACCAAAGTATGTGGAAGTGATTTATTTTGAAGAATATAGCCTCCTGCATGCACACACTTCAAGGCACCAGCTAACATCAGTGAAAAACATACAGCACATGTGATAACAACTGCATAATAATCTGCAAGTGAAAAAAAAACAAAACCAATTAACATATGTAAATGAAGTTTCCAGTATCCATATTTCACATTCAGAACAGCTATTTAGAATCACAGAACCTCTGTGATCAGAGGTCATCTGGTCCAAAGTCAAAACAAAACCAAATCTCAGATTCAGGAATTAAAAAAGAAATTACGGCATCATTGATAACTGCAGATAAATGCAGTTAGTGAAGATTTGTATGGCTTGCAGGATTAAGAATAGATCTATAGCCCCAAAGTGGACGGGGGTTTATGTTTCACTTAAAAGTCCCCACAATGTTTATCACTCAAAAGGTACTTCCTCTCTTAGTACTTTTAGGATTAATTGACTTGTAATTGTTCCTATATTAAAAAACAAAAACAAAAAAAAAGCCACCCAAAAATAACAAAAGAAAAAAAACAAACCACCAAAAAACAAAATAGAAACCCACATGCACCTAGTTAAGTCACACAGTCCCTTCCTGCCCCATAGGACAGTTACCTTGGTGAGCTACAGAGCCTGCAGCTACGCATTTCCAGGTGGATGGGATGGAATGTTTGTTTAGAGATGCAGTGACCACAACAGACACACAGTAATTTCTATTTGGATACAATTCTTCAATGACAGTATTAAAAACATCTTCAGTGGTTTTCTCATGGGGCCTCTGCCATGAAAGACAATGTTTCAAAGTTAGCTATGTGCCTAAAAAAAGATCCCCAACAGCTGGTGAAACTGCAAAGACTGACACAGTAACTCAATGGTTTACCTAGCCAGCTGCTTCATCCCTAGCTGTCGCTGTTGTCAAGATGCCTACCTTACATCCGTTTGTAAGCATAGTATTATCAAAGGTAAGTTGCCTATTGTCCCTAACTGTTGGTCACTGTATGTTCCCTTGAAGTAGCCTCAGATAGATGCTACAGATTTGAAACTGCAAGTGACATTCTGATTCAGAAATCAGGAGAGAAAAAAAAAAAATAAAAAAAAAATCTGTGGTGGGAAAGCTGCGATCCTTTCTCTGTCTCCTGGCAGGATGAGTTAGATTAAATTCCCAACAGGTATCTGCCTTACCTACTGCTTACAACTTCCAGTACAGACACTCCATGCTCTACACCTGCTAGCGTGCCTACACCTGCTAGTAGTTTCTGCTAAAATGTCTTTCCCTTGTCTTCTCAGGGAATAAAACATAGAGCATTGGCTCAAGTGATTATTTCAAGTAAAGATACAGGACAATTAGTATTCCTCTTCTAGGCCCGCTACTATGCAGTAAAAGGAAACTGAGGTTATGATGGCCATTCTCTTTGTTTCCTTCTAAGTATCTTCTGTTCATATATTCACATATTTGCTTCTGTGAATCTGCTAACCAGTGCCATTTTATGTTTTCTATATTTCTCCTCTAATGCATAAAAAAAAAAACAAAAAAAAATCTTTACCTTATGCTCTCCATTAAGTGTTTTCAGTGTTATATCATAATCAAGCTCTTGATATATATCAATTAAAGACAGTAGCTTTCCATTTTCTCTGAAGTAAGAGGTTGGCAGCTTTATGGAGACATTTATGCAGTTTATACAGGAACTGATATTAACTTCTGGTGGTCCAAGGAATGCTATTGAAAAAAAAAAAAAAAAAAGAAAAAAAGAAGAGGGGGAAAAAATATACACTGTGTATTCAGTACCACTTCTATTTTGGTGACAGACATGTAGCTGACTAATCAGGTTCCAGAGCATTTCACTGCTATAAAACCACAAGGCCTTGCAACATTTAAGTTCCACAGTCAAAACGTCTTTTCCCACATGACTAGATTTGAAAAACAGAAAACAATGGAGAAGAGGGAAGAAGCAGAAAGGTGACAAAGGCTTTGCTTCAGCTCCAGAGATGTGAGCTTTTTATCTATTTGAGAACAAAGCTGAGGTTAATGTATAGGAAAAGCTGTTTATTTTCTTGCTCATCATCATCTTCTAGCCACTCTCTAGAAGAAATTTTTGTAGAAATTCAGTGGCGTGTAGTCCTGCACATATTCATGCTAGTTGCAAGAAAGGCTATAGGACTAAACAGCTGAGCTCCAAACACTAAAACTCTACTGAGAGTGGGACAGAGAACATAGTGAAACATAGTGACACTTCTGTGAAACTTCCACTGAGCGTTCAGATCCTCAAAACACGCCTGTGTTCCAAGAGCCGTGCATGCTGCTTGTCTCCTTTCCCCAACTACACATCCATCAATACTGGAGGAACTTCCATAGTGAATCAAGCCTAGGATCTGCACACAAGAAAGGAGCAGGAACGTCGGAAAATGGCAGGAGAACAAACTATGTCCATAAACCTCCATTTCTGTGTAGTTCACTGGGAGGGTGGGGGGAAACATCAAAATGTAGAGTTTGCATTTCACTTTGTCTTTTCCAGAGGCATGTGCGTTTTGATCAAGGTAGAGACTGGTTTGCCAATCTCTGCAAAATTCAAAAAAGCAACACGCATTTGCTAACTACTTCTGTTCCTGAAATAGTGTAGAAAGAAAAAACAAACAAACAAACAAAAAACAACCCAAAAGCCAAACTCCAGACAAGTTTAATACTCAGAACAAATGTGAGCTTTCATCTACTCCCAAACAGGAAAGTATGTCCTAGTCAAATGATTACACACTTATTCCTTTCTCATCTTTTGCTTTAAGTTACAAATTAACTTAAATCTGGTTACAGCCAGAAGTGTTTTTTATTATTGCTGGCTCTTTGTCACGAAGCTTTTCTGTCTTTGCTCAAATCCATCTGTCAATGGTAGTGAGATTCCAACATAGGTATTTTGAAGGTAGCCATCAACTACACCCAGTAAGAAAATATCTCAGAATATTGATTCTTTCCTATTCAGGCATTGTAAAAGAAGAAAATGCTACAGGGCTCATCTAAGTCCTGTGCCCTGGAAAACATGACTTTACTCAATTGCTTATGGTTTGAACTAGAGAACTACTAGCAAAGCATCCAACTTCAATTTACAAATTGCCAGTAATGGACAACCGGTCAAAGCACCTGATATTTTGTTCCAGTGGTCAATCCAATATATGCTTCTGTTCCTAGCTAAAATTAAATCTAGCTTCAGCTTCCTGTCAGAGCATGCTGTTATGCTTTGGTTTTGAGACTGAAGAAGCTTGCCACCATGTTAATTGCTGGTCAATGCACCTTCTGATCTTACACTTTCAAAAAACTAACTGCTGAAAGACTGAAGACATCCACCTTGGAGGAATGTTCTCAAATCCTTTTGTTATCCTTGTGGTTATTCTCTCCATCCCATCCAATTTTTCATCATTTCTGAGACTGTAAGTGGACACAGCAGTGGCTAGCTCTGTGTCGAATTTAGGGGTAATATGACCTACAATTTCTCCTCCATAGTCCTCCAATTGTTCCTCATTCACTCTGTTACTTAAAAACTGAATACTAAGCACAACTAAGGGTGAAACCACCTCTGGCATTAGAAGACGTCACAGCTAATAAATGTCTTCTTTCAGCAAGGAAAGGGAGAAGAGCACATTGATGAGCAAACAAGTAAATCTCTTCCCCTACACCTAGTGCAGGCACAGTATTTCTTTAACACTTTAACACTGACTACTTGAAGACACACAAAAAAAATGTTTTGTGGGTTATGTATCTTAAGCGTTTAGAGTTTTTTGCTTGTCAATGCGTCATATGATCCTATATCCTCTATATTTACACATACATTTTATTTGAAAATCAGAGCCTTGTCATTTACCAGAACTACTACTGTAGCCACTTATTTTAGAAAGCTATCTATATATTCCAGGTCTTGTAACTCATATGTGCTAGATTAGATACAAATCCATCTTCTCTTACATAAAACAATAAGCTACTGACCCAGTTAGTTTGCTGTATTTTAGTGTAAAGCTAGCAGAATATCATTTACACATGAGCTATGAATAAAAACTACTAAAATGAGCAAATGCAAAGAACTTACTGTCAGTAATTGGCACAAAATGAAGTACAGAAGAATTGAATTCTTGATTTCCTACAAAGCTCTGAACCAATGCAGAATACTGAGTGTTCACCTGTTTAAAATCATCTGTCAGATTACAGGAGAGTTGCATAATATTTGAACATTGTTTAGCAGTCTTCCAGTTCCTGTAAATTAAGACAAGTTAAAAGAAGACCAAAACAATCTATCTGGGGTTTCTCGTATAAAAAAGTAAGGGGCAGGGGGAGGGGAGGAAGCATTTCAGAGTGGAAAAACAGACAAATAAACCCCCCTCTAGTCTTAATATTTTGAGTTGATAAACATAAAAATTAAAAATTGTGCCATAAAATATGACTTGCCTGCGGTCAGTGTACAGCACACGATAGTATGTTGGCATAGTTGGATCACTTTTTGCCTGCCAGGACAAAATGTGCTGAAAATTGTAAGATTCCATTTGTAGCTTTTGAGGTAGCTCTCCCAGAAATCTTTCTAGAAAGGGGAAAAAAAACACCCAGAAACAATCAGTATGTTTGGTATATTGTTTGCCACATGAATGGCAAACAAATGTGAGATTGCAACAATTCTAATAAATAAACCCAATTAGAGCAGCCCAATATTTGTCCCAAAATATAGAGTTCAGCACAACAGAAACAATAATGGAAAGGACTGTCCTCCTTTATTAAGTCCTTCCTTCAAAAAGCATGAAGTTTTAAGACGATGCAAGTTTTTTGAACTCTGTTAAGAAAATCATTTGAAAGACAATAAAAGCCTCTTACCAGGCAAGCTGTGACAAGCCGTAGATAGAATGTTGATTAACACTGGAAAATAAAACTATGTATTAATGCATTTGTACATATATCTGATTACTAGCCTACTATTGGCAGTATTAATTTCCAACAATTAGAGACAATACTCAGTTCCGTCAGTGGAACTGTTTCTTTCACATATTCTTGCTGCAACTTTCCCCTACCCTTCCCTCCTTAGAGTATGGGATGATCCCTTCCAACCTCTGTCATTAATTGAAGGCTCCCAGGAGCTAACTCTTTGATAACTACACTACTATACTGTGCTTCAGGCTTATGCTGATCCCTGACAGATGAGGTTCATGACTCAGTGTGAATAAATGTTCTTAGGATGTTCTTATCAAATATTGTCTTAAAAGATTCTGACTATATTTCAAGTAGCTCACCCTGCCTATTAAACACCGTTTTAAGTCGTAAAAAGAATCTTAAGGCTGGTCTGGGAAAAAATACTGTTACTGCTTGAAGAACATTGTTGAATCAACTTCACAGATGCCATTCTTTGCTAAATGTGGGGAGTTCTCAAAGCTGTAGTTTTAACAACTTTGATGTACCACCCACTGTCTCCAGACAGCTAACACTTGTTAACTCCGTATTTCAGTCTCTATTTTGTAACTCCCTCTCTATTTTGTGTCCTGCAATGCTACAGAAGTAACATTTCCCTGTGGTGTTTAACTCTACAGCATTCTATTCTCTGCCTGCAAAGGAACAGAAAGAACGCCACCAACAGATGCCACAGCACTTCTGCCACAGAACGTGGTTGAGGCCACATTCAGACTGTTAGTCAGGCCTTACTATCCAAGTAGACTCTTGAACCCAGCCTTCTTGCAGATCTTGACATTTTAGAGATCCCACATCTTCTTGTATAACCTCTGTACGAGACTGTTCACCCACATCCTCACTGTATACAGAGTTCTTTTCTTTGACCAACCCAGTCCTGCATCATTCATACATTTTCAGCACAGTGCTTCAAGACACTCTTGAAATAATTGTTCTGACCTTTCTATTTATTTTTTTTTTCCTCAGGATCCTTCATTTCCCTTCCGCTTTCTGACTGCAACAAAAATAAAATTCCTGTCCTCATTTTAAAGGCATTTTGTGATCTGTCCTTCTACTGATGTCAACTCCCATATTTAGTTGGCCAAAGAAGTTGGTTTAATTTCAAATATATATGCTTGTTCTCATGCTATAGAATAATTCCATGGAAATATCTGCAAAATAACTTATTTTCCTTAAAACTCTTCACTATGTACTCTCTTTCTCCTTGACACCTAAACCCTCTACCCAAAAATATGACAATACCCCAAACACCACCGGCCTGCTGTGTCTGATGAACTGTGCTGATTAATACTGCCTTAACATTTTCTTTTATTTTCCTAATCTCACTTAGAATGGTATTTTCTGTAGCATGACAAATGTCTTTGACTTTACATTTATACAGCAACTAACACAGCAGCACTCTGGTCCACAACTAAGGTTCTCAGGTGCTACACTGTGATGTGCATCCTAGTACCAGGATACAAATTCCTGGTCAAGTAGAGGGGATTCAGAATAGTAGCAGGTCAGTGGGAACTGTCCTGTCCCAGAGACACTGGGAGAATTTCCTAATGTATTAATGCAGTCATTTTACAATCCTTGTCTACTTTTACAGAGAGGGCTGCAAGAGGGAAAAAAATTCCTGCTCAGTTAATTAAAGAGATACCTGGACCAAACCTTTACGGCTGCAGGAAAGTGTCTTAAAAGATGACCTTTAATTAGCAGTGGGCATACACAGAAGCACACACAAATACGCTTGGGCACTAAGTTGGTGGAAGTCATTTAGGATGGATACTTAGCCAAGTATCTCTTATAAATCTGGCTCTTCAGTTATCTGTCTCGCAAACATTAAACAATGCTCCCAGCATCCTTTCTGAAATTAGATGCAAAGAGATTAAGCAGATCACTTGTGGAAATATAAATTTGCTGCATATGCAACTCACGAGAGAAAACTCATCTCTCAAGCTTCATTTTGCCATCCAAACCACAGACATCTTCTTTTTTTGCATGTCTTCCTTCAGTACTTGTTCTACATTATTACTGAGTAATAAACATCCCCTTAGAGAAGTGCAGTTAAAAGTAGAACAACTAATTTCCTGTCATATAGCAACAGATCACCTATCTGGAAAAAACATCCTATAGGTATGAATAACAAAGCAATACTTTAACAGTTATTATTCTTTACCTGAACACAAGCTCAAATTTGTGATCATTTGTGTGAGGAATTCTAATGTGCTAACAGGCACACAGCCTTTACCACATGAAGACTAATCCCATTATAGAAACAGGTAGTTTCAGGGTGCAGGTTCTAGTAATGACACACTTCCTTGGAGCAAGCCTTTCAGATTAGGGAATGTAAACAGTCTGTTGTCACTCTCTCTAGCACCAGCCACCTCACACGTGTCAGCCATCTTGCCAATATATTGTGTGGCGACACAATGTTTTTTCCATTCAAGGATCCTCAGATTAGACAGGCAATTTTATGCCAATATTTGTAATTTTTAAATGTGTCTCTCCTCTCAAAATCAAATTCCATTCATCAAGAGTTCAACCTGCCTCAGAATTTTGATTCAACAAACATGCTTAGCTAATACAGTTGGAGAGTTGCAAAATTTTGTTGGTTATGCTCTTACGTAAGAGACACAAGAAAAAAAAACTTAGACCAGATAAGAGGGAAAATTAAGACTGGAGAGATAAAGACGGTTTGCAAATCAAATGTAGAACTTTTTTCCATCTTATCTTTTTTACAGAATTAAGTGTTCCTAGCAAAGCAGTTTCTCGCTATAACTACAGCTCCCAGCTAGCATGCTAGGAGCTAACCTAGCTAACAAGCTAGGTCTGTTGTGCCTGCTGATTCAGAAACTAAGGAATCCTGAAAAAGTTAGAATAAGAGATGAAAAACAACATATCCAACTAAGAGTTCATTGGACATTTATAGGCAGAATGCAGTATGCTGTGTCAAAGCATTTCTTTATTATGTCAAAAATCCATGTTTATGTATAGAATGAGTGTGTAGAATGTAATACACTAGATTCTTGATACTGTGAATTATTCCAGGGAAAGCTCTATAAGATGATGGTATCTTACTTCAGTAACTCAGGAGGAGTGTTAGTGAAAAATTAGCGTTATTACTCCTCTTACAATATAAAGATACAGGCAACTTACCAAGTTGATGAAAATGCATTGGTATATTCATCAGTGTTTCCATGGCAGTTAAGAAATATAACCTACTGATTGCAGAACAACCATTTTGCTCCTGTACCTGCAAACAGATGAAAACCAACCACATTCAGCAAATCACCTCAGTAAATTACTTGCAAGAAAAACAGGCCTATGTACAAAGAGTTACTTTAACCTCCTCAATGTCTAGGGAGAGGCAGAGGTTCTGAAACAGTTACGGCTATCAGTGAGTGAGGCCAGGATCCTCAGATCAGACAGGCAACTTTATGACAACAGCCCTTCCGTTTTTTTCTGTGGAAAGATCTCTTACAATTTTAAATGAACACAGAAAACACTGTATGGTACAATGAAAATAAGCACTACTTGGCTTTATTTCAAATATTACAAGAACTCATCATTGTAAAAATTGTTGGCAGAAAGAGGGGGGTTAGAAAAAAAAAACAATTATAAAATTAATTATGAAGTTTCTGCTACATTTTTCTAATACAGATGATCTATTAAAATATTTCCTCTCATTGATTTTGTATTTTTATTTTATTTATTATCCCCATAGTGTTAATATTTGCAGGATCTGGTTTCGGATTATAGGCAAAGTATTAAGGAACAACTGTGAAGTTACAGATGTCTGGGCAAGGGTATAACTATTTCCAAAGAATCTTCTCCTCAGGATTAATACAAAAAATGTTTTTTACACTTAAAATTATTTTTCAAATACAACTTAAATTATTTTTTGTGGAACATAACATTTCAGAGAAAATAATTTAAATTGTCTTTAAAAAATATTATTTTCTCTGGAAAATAACAACCAAACAAACCACAGCTTAAAATTTAAAATCATGGCAAAGCATACTATGGTCAAACTTAACACAGTATGTTAAAATCTGATTGGAGATGTCAACCTTCCTCTATTCAAAGTTTTAGCATGACTATAGGAAGCCACTAGTTAAATGTTGAAAACCTGTATCTGTGCAACTGATAATCATCATTTCACAGACAAAGAGAATGTTCTTTTCAATTCGATTTGGTTCATTTATTAATTCATTCAAGCACAAGGAATATTTAGGAGATATAAAATACCAGTCGTCCTCTTTTCAATCAAAATGAAAAACTATCGATAAGTAGAATTTACTAATCACAAAATCTTAAAGTTTATCACTAATATCAGCAAACTAGAAAGCAATTAAGTCACATACCTACCAAGTCCATTTAGTCTTGGCACTAGTGAATGTGACAGAAGAAAAAAAAAATCATTTGACTTTCTCATTCGGATCAAGTGTACAGGTTATACAGTGTGTGTGTACATATGTATGTATATATATATGAAAAAATATCTTTTTACTTCAACAAGGTTACCAGCTTTGTTCGGAAGTCACATAGAAACATAGTGCCAAACAATACTACTTTCACAGTCACTTTAGAGAACAGTTACAGCCCTGGGATCTGAAGTTTTAGGCTGTTCAGAATTTTCTCTTGAGGTGAAAATTTTGAGGATCCCAAATTTACTTCACAAAATATATCCTTTGTCTTAATCCTCGCAATTAATCACAAACCATATTGAAACCACTCCATATATGGTATTATGCAATAGATATATTTGCATATCTTTGATCCTTGCTGTACATGCTGTCGTGAATAACAACTATCCCACTCTTGGAATCTAAAGTGACTCTTGTATGGCTCTGTATGCTGAACACCACACATATCTTAAATGATGCATGTTCAAAGTCAGGTTATGCATTTAGCACCATAGAATATATGTGTGTGTATATATATATACACACACATATATTAACTTTATATGTATACATATATATATGTATACATATATATATATGTATATATGAAGTGAAAAAAATGAAGGTTATCTCTGACTTTGCACAGTTGTTTCAATGTGGATGTCATCCGCAGATCTATCAATGTCAGGTAAATTCCAGAGGAAATTCCAGGGGGAAACCATTTCTGTCAGAACTCTGATTAGGTTTTGTTACTCTTCCTCTTCAGGGCCCCAGCAGTCCTTGGAGAGAAGTCACAGAAATACCCGTGAGTTTAGCCCTCGCCCACCTCATCAGCCTGAGCTCACAGTAACTCCCCTCAGAGCTGCTTGAAGCCTTCAGCACTATCAAAACTCAACTTCACCGAGTCCTGAACTGGAGTTCAGGCTGGGTTGTTTTGTATTTGCCTCCAACTAGACAAAGCAGGTTTTGAAAGCCACTGACTTGTATTTCAGAAAAGCTCCACATCAGTAAAGCAGAAAACACACCTTTTTCTTCAAAATAATCAGATGGCGTGTTCATTTATATAAATTACTTATTGGAACGTTGAGTGAGAATGAGAGAGACAGAAACCACAGAAGACGTTTCAGGCAGAGAAGTCAGCAGAGAATTGTCCTAAATCTACACACAGGTAATACAATGTACAAACTAACTTTACTACTGAAACCATGTGAACTATGGAATCGCTCTGTGGGTTGTAGTATTATGCCCATGCTCTATTCTTGGCTTTGCTGGGGGACTTTGGATAAGTTGCTTCTAAGGATATTGAAAGAATTTAACCTTAATAATCCAAGTCCGTTACCCACAAGTCCATCTTGCATACACTGCCAGCAGTGCTCCTGGTGAGCCAGGCATGCCCCTGGAAGGGCCAGCGTGGGTCATACAGCATTAAAACAGAGGGATAGACAAACTCCTCGGCTGTGGTGTGCCGCTCCAGCACGGCGGGGAGGACACAGTGAAACAGCATTGATGCCAAAAAACCTCGTCAGACTCTACCGCTGCTCATTTTTTTCTGACAAATTTGTGTTCCTGGGCTACACGATTACCTACAATGCAACCCACAGGATATCACTAGGTTCTGTTTTGCAGCCAGTGACATCGCCGAAGGAACAATCCCCAGAACCCGCCGTTTTTAAGTGCGATTCCGCTGGTATTACACCAAGCCGTGCTGCGGGGTTACCGGTTTCAGGCAACAGCGGCCTCCTCTACGCCCCCACCGAAACGCTAACACAAACCAGCGGCCTTTCCAGGAAACCCCTGCAGCTGGGGACGCCGAGCCCGGCGCACACACACCTCCCCTGGCTGAGAGAGAGCGCGGAGCACACCGCGGAGCTCCGCCGGGCGCGGCCGGCCTGGGCCCTGAGGGGGGTCGGGGTCCGTCCAGGCCCTCGCTCCGGTCGCTCTAACGGAACGTCTCCAACAGCCGCGACACAGACGAGCACCCCCGCACCACGGACAGCGAGCCGTTAGGAGAGATGAGCGGCGGGACACAGGACACCCCGCCACCTCCCAGCCGTACCTCGCAGCAGGCGGCATCCCGGCAGCTCCGCGCCGCGCCGGCTGTCCTGTCCGGTCCTGTCCTGTCAGGCCGAGGGACGCACCGCCTGGGAAATGGCGGCGGGGAAGCTGCGGCGGGCGGCTAACCGCGCCCCGCAGCGGTCCCGAGGCAGGGGTAGGACAACTCGCGGTGGGGTCGGTGTTGGGCCGCTAACAGCGCCGCTGGGGGCCGGCTTCAGGGCGCCGCCTCTTCCGGAGCGGGGTGTGCCCCAGGCCGCGCCGCGCCGCCGGCAGGAGGTTCCCCTGGCGAAGCGCAGCTGCCCGCCCCGGCGGAAAGCGCTTCCTAGCCTGGTTTCGCTTTTACTTCCATCCTCTGGTATTCGATGCGTGTTGTCGTGAAGGAAGTCTCTGCGGAAGGGTGCGAAAGTGTTTGCTGGTGTCCTTGATCCTTAATGTTGAGGGAGTGCGGTGCTGCTGATAGGGGTTTTGTAAATATTTGCCTTATCAGGGGCCGAAATGGGTAAGGTGTTTTCTGTCCTGGTGTTTTCTGATAGTGGAAACAGCAGCATTTGGTATTCAATACAGCCTGTATCATGTAATGTGAGGGGTCATCATGGGACGGTCTTGGTACCTACCCGAGGTGAGCAAGGGGTAAGAAACCAGGTCTGGCTAGTGGACATGTCCCACTGGACCTGCAGCCCCGCTGACTGACTACACCTCCTTGTCCGCTGGCCTCCATTTCTTCACTGATGGAGACGTGTAATCTTAGGAGTTGTTTGGCAGCTGGACATGAGGTGATGCTGCACCTCCTTAAGTCATACAAAGAAAAGGAAACCTGAGGTTTCCAGTTTCTGTTTAAGGCTGTTTTACCTGTGAGGCCTTTCTAATTTTTGTTAACTGGTTTGGGTTGGATTTTTTATTTGTTTGGGATTTTTGGGTTTTTGTTTTGTTTTTGTTTTTTTTAGAATTCTTTTTACAAAAATATTTCATTTCCTGCCATTTTTGCAGAAGCTCCCACAAACTTCCTGCTTGCCTGTCAGAAAAATTCACTGGCTCTTGTGGTCGCTCAGAAGAAAGTGAATCTTCTGTCTGACTTATGTACAGGAGGGATAAAGCACCTGTAGTGAAGGGTGAAGGAGACGTAGAACTCAGTTTTCACAAATTTTGGTTAAGTCAGCAGGTCATAGCTATTACCAATCTAAATCGCCTCCCATAATGATCTGTCTGTAACTTAGAGGTAAATGTATGCATGAATGTTGAAATACTGCTTCCACCCATAGCTGTTGCTGATTCTAGCGCTCGGCAAACTACTCTCACTCAGGTCATGAACCACTGCAGACAGGGAGGAGGGTAGGACTACAAGCAAGGAGCAGTGAAGATGTGGCTAGTGCAAAATATAAAGCCTCTCTATTTTGGCCACTCAGCTTTCATTTCCCTTAAAAGAAAATGTGCTGAAGCCACAGGGATGCTCAGCTACATATCAGGAATAAAAGTCTGTAATGAAAACTCCAGACATTTTTTATTTTTTCTTTTTTTTTTGTGTGTGTGTGGATTTGTGTTTTTCGTTTTTTGTGTTTTGTTTTTTTTTTTCATTTGCTTTTGGGTTTTAATGTAAAGAATAGCTCCATCTGTTGCACTTCATGCGAAAAACTGCCTGTAGAATTTGTAAGTGAAATGGGGAGCCTGGCCCTGGGCTCTGCCATAGTAAACACTGACAGTATTCTTCAAAGAAAATGGCGAAGAAATTGCACGACACATACTTTTTCTTTGGTATCATATCCAATTATTTTCTTAGTTCTGTTAACGTGTGTGTGTATGTGCACATGTGTGTGTTTATACATAAATATCCCTTTGTGTGCATAAGTCTGACTTTGGGGCAGGAATCTTAACACACCATGCCTGTGATATAAGGAAAGCAAGTGCCTGGAAAACACAGAGTTAAGATACTTTTAACTTAACTTAGGTCTAAGATAGAGAACAATGTTTGTGTTGTAAGTCTGTGGTGTGATAACAGAATTTAGTAGTCTTACTAACAAGAGCGAATTATTTCTTTCCATCCTTCTAATGAGTTACCATCCTTCTAATTATCAGTTAGTTTGGAGACAGTGACTCCCGAACATCTGCTAGCTTGGGAGGCAATAAATTTTGTGGATGAAGGTCACACTGTTTTAAATCTTTGCCAGCTATCAGGAACTTGCAGATATGGCTGGTTTCAGCTAATTTGCGATTACTGGGGCATCCAACTGTGCCAAAGGTGAAAAGTGCACCCTGAGGAAGACTGCTTACTTCATCTTGAAGACCCCTGCCCACGACCTTCGGAGGGCAGCACACAAGTGCCAAAAGGGAGGAGACTTATGATAATGAGTACCTAAAGTAATTGTAATATCCCTGCCAAACCCTCGGGAACCTAATGAATATGTATGTTTGTGTGTAATAAATATCTGCTTGCTTAACCCCTCAGTGTGCAAGTTAGGAGGAGCAATCCCCCTTGCACCCGGCACTGTAATAAACATACCTGCTTTATAACTCTCTTCGAGTTGTAGAGTCTGATTCCATGCTTCACGTGGGTTAAAAGTTAGATTTTAACACTGGTAAAATAAGCAGCCTCTCTTCCCAGCTGCCACTTTGCTGTTTAGTTTTTGAGTGCAGGGCTCTCTGGAAGGAAAGTCTCATCAGTCTAGCCTGACACAAGGTCAGACTGTTGCTGTCTGCGAAGGCCAAAGCTTGTGGAGCTTGTTCAGAGGTTCAAAGTACTCACAGTATAGTGCAACCAGCCAGCCTGCAACATGACAGAAAGATCATTCAGCTCCTCTCTGGAGCTACTGTGTTATCTAGGCAAGCCAAAAAAGTTGCCAGCTGTAGGCAGGTCTGTGGGTGCAACTGCTGCTGTATAACTGGAGGGGTAAGCTGCTGTCCTAAACACACACGGTGGTTCCCATGCTATGCTGCACAGAATGGTAGTTCCCAGCCCTTTTGGAATAACGCACCATTGTCACACCTCCTGTCTTGTGACTGCTCAGCCTAATTGCACTCAATAGTTTTTACTATTAAAGATAATCATTTGTGTATGCCACACCCCAAGACTGGCAGCAGCATGAAAATAATTCAGACGATCATTTCAGAATAGCTCAACAAGCTGGTATTTGTCTTGAAGTTGTGCACTGGTTCCTCTGTTTCTTTCTCTGATAGGAAGGAAATTCCTAGTGTGCACGTCTTATTTGGTTTGACCTAATTTCTGCTGGTAGCTTCTTCTGCTTGCACACTGACACATCCTGTTTTCTGCATTTGATACACTGTGTTGACCTTTTATTATTGTTACTGGGGATTTTGAGTTGCAAAATAATTGCTACAATAGTTGGCTACTGATAAGTTTGTTGTAAAAATTGGCCCATTGCAAAGAAAGAGAGAATAAAGAAAGATGCAGAAAGACAGGACAGAGGTGCTCCTATTTTCTTTGTGAATTCATGGGGCACACATTTCATCTCATGCATCCAAATGAGACCCCTTCAACTTTTCCATGTCCTGCATTATTTCATTTCTTCTCCTTACATCCTTTTGCTTTTCCGCTACTGATACTTCTAGTAAGAACCGTAGAATCATAGAATAGTTAGGGTTGGAAAGGACCTTAAGATCATCTAGTTCTAACACCCCCCCCCCCCCCCCCCCCCTTTTTTTTAAAGGCAGGGTTTCACTGAGCATACAAATGCTGGGTGTTTAAAAAGTAGTTTGAAGTGTTTCAAGCTTGTCTTCCAATTGCTATGCTTACTGTCAGCATTAGAACCAGTGCAACTGATTTAATGTTAGTGTCAGGGGGCACATTCATACAATTTCCAGATGTAGGAATATATATTTATATAACTTTCTCTGATTATTTACTTATGACACATCTCTTTCTATGAAATCCTATTTCTGTTTCTGCTATCTTCATTTTGTTCTGAGCTCAACTGTGTGGACTGTTCTGAAACTTCTGCAGATCCAAAACTAGGAGAGCTAGGGTTTTATTTTATTTTATTTTTTAAATTATTTTTAAAATTTATTTACAGCCTTATAATTTTTTTTTTTGTATGTTCATGATTTGTAATCTAGAATCAGAAAGAAATGAAAGATGTGCAAGAGTTTAAGAAAAAATTTTTAGTATTTCCTGAATAAAGAAATTGGAATGTGATCTTTTTTTTGGCCTGGAGGTGATGCTGTTTCTCTAGGAAAAAAAACTTTGGAAAGATATTGAAGAGGAGTACTTTGAAAATCTTGTAGAAAGTACTTGCATTAAAGCTAGATATACACGTATTTATGCTCTTCAACTTTGTGTAAGTAAGATTTCATCAACATTTTGGAAGACTGAGACCTCTCTCAGCAGAATTCAAGCGTACTTTCTTAAACCCTCCAGCATATCACAAACCAGCATGCTAAAAATAGGAGCAATTTTGATTTTTCTTTTATTATTCATGCATATCTTTAATGCACCTTTTTGTGTTGCTCATGTGCTCTGACATGATTTCAGATCTGTTGCTGAGGGAGAGGTGCAGTTTCTGTGCAAGTTCTCATGAAAGGTGCTCATGCTTATTTGTTTTGAGAAATTTAACTGGGCAAAACTGAGAGTTCCAGGTTATTACTTCAGTACCTCAGAAATGACTCAGTTTTTACCACCCTTGTGTGCTGTCTTAAATTGTAGTATATGGGCAAATGTTTGAATTTTGGCCCAACATCCTTGTCCTTTTGTA